TCACTCAGACACCTCTCCAGTCCATAACTGATTGAAACTGTGACTCGGGGCCAGAGCGGCTGATTGAAGATGTAATGAGCTGTAAATCCTGGCACAGTGGGGGCCACTCTGACTTACCCCTCCCACTCCTCTAACAAGTTCCTGCAATCAGATCAGCGTGGGTTTCTCCTCCTTACAGGAGGCCCACTCTAATATCTACAACCTCACCCCCCTCTCCCGACTCCTGTCCTTGTGCCAACACACTTATACTTAACTGTCCTTTTACAGTTTGGCCATGTAGCCATTCAGCAGTTACCGTCAAGTCATAGGTTTTAACTACTTACAAAGGGATCTTCTGGGAAAGCCACGGGGGCCGGATGCAGCCCGGTTGGCTTTTTAACCCGGCCCGCTAAACTTATCCGGCGTAGAAAAGGCTTGAAGCATCTATCAGTTCCTGACCCCACCCCTGTCAAATTTTAGGGCACATTGTGGCCCAAAAAGTTTGGTTCATGTCCCCTTCGGTTTTTCAGGAGGGGTTCCTAAAAATGTAGAAAAAAAAAATTCTAGTACACTTTCTTTTTTTTCCAAGTTTTAAAAGTCTTTTAATACTGTGTAAAATTACTCCAATATATTGCATTATTTAAGCTTAGAAATATATATATATATATGTATGTATGTACATGTGTATGTATATAAATTAGGGATTTTTTTTTAGACTTTCAGTACAAGTACCAATACCAATACCACTAGTACCATGTATGTATATATGATGTATATGTATGATGTAGATTTATATATATATATATATTTATATATATATTTATACATATATATTTATATATATGTATACATATATATATATTTATTTAATATACATTAAGGGGGAATATATACAATACACTCTATATGTATGTGTGGTTAGGAGTAAAGATATTATATATATTCATTAGTGTATTATACAACACCATTTACGGTGTGTGCTCCTTATTCCGTCTTCCCATCAGTCTGGTGGTTCTCGGCTTATAAAAGGTTTAAAGCACCCCCTGTTCTACAACTATCTATTAAACAAGCAAAAAAAAAAATGTAAAAAAAAAAAAAATCCTTCATCTGGGGCAGTAAGGCCAAACTTTCTGTGCTGCAGAATCACACGAAGCACTTCGACCCGTCTGTCATTATGATTTACTGCTCAGCAGGAGCAGCTCACTGTATATGATGTACTGCTGGGTGAAGTCAATGCATCATAAAGATGCTGTCACACACACAGACTCAGATTTGTCAAAGACTCCAACCTGTTTGTGAGGAACAGAAATATTATTTCGGGGGGGAAGCTGAGGTCTTAGAGTCAGATACATCTTAGAGTAATTCTGCAATTCAGCCCCTGAGGGAAGAAGAAGAAAAAGAAGAAGACAGAGTTGAAGTAAAAAGACACAGCAATGAATCTTTGTCTAATTCACAGCTCCTTCCTTTTCTTAGTACAAGCCACTGTACGTACGTGAGAAACCATATTTCTGAGCAGCTGAGGTTTATCACAACACAGGGGGCCCTCGGTTTATGGCGTCGTTGACCTTCGGCGTTTCTCGGTTATGTCGTCATATTGTTCCATCATTCCGATGTACGCCATTAATACACGTTTCACGTGGAGACTAGAGTGCGAGCATAGCAGCTGAATAAGCCGCTACATGGAGGTATACGCCGAAGAGAGCTTTGTTTATATTTGGCGATTGGACGCTTTGCTTTGGATTGTGCTACATTTGCTTTTTTGTTTTTTTTTGTGTGTTTGTTTTTATTTATTTATTGAACATTTTTGACCTTCATTCTGGCTCCCGAGCACAAGTCAGACTCTTCAGATGTTGTAATGTACCAGATCAAACTTTTTTAGCAGCAGGCCACAATCGATCCTAAGATTTGACAAGGAGGCGGGGTCAGTAGTAGATAGATAGAGGGTTCGTGTGAACTAAGATAAATGATGTGTACAAGTCAGGGAAAAGTCAAGGCTAAATTGCTAAAATATTTTTTACCCTTTTCTACGCCATCTATTGGGGAAACGTGGGTATTGCAGGGAAAAGGCAGAAGTATAATGATAATATAAATAAATTATATAATTTGGAAAAGATTGACGGTCCGGATTAAAGAAGAAAGAAAAAAAGAAAATCACATAGATAACGCAAACACAATACGGAAGACTCGCCGGGGTTGCGTACGGAAATCGCAAACACGTGAAGTGAACGAATGAGGCGGCGTAGGCTGCTCTAAGTGCTCGGCCACCTAGTGTCGGCGTCTGTAAGTGTGCTTGTATCTCGAAGCAAAAATTTGCATGCTCGTATCTCAGAATATTTTATTTAAACTTATCAAATTTCAAAGTATGAACTTAGTCCTGCAGGTGGCAGATGATATGTAGAATTAGTTTCCAAATAATTGGAAGATTCTCTGTTAATAGTAGTTAACTTAAGTTATCTGTTCTAAAATAACCTAGAAAAAAAGTGTCTAATTAATTCAACTTAATTATTTACGTCAGTTAAACACTGACACCGTGAGAGTTACAGTAATGAAAATGTTTTTACACTAATCCAGAATATTCTACAAAATATCCCGAGCTGTATACCTAAAAATAGCACTTTGTATACAGTTAGCATCTCCTCATTAATAAAATACATCTATTTAGTTTTATGTTTAACCAAAACTAGCCTAAGGCATCGGACACCCGCACTGTAATTTTTTTTTTTTTACACTCCAGTTAATTCAATTTTCATCGTTAGTCTTGAAATGTTATTATTAAGGCTGATGGCCAATATATGAGGGAAAGAAGGAGCTGAATAGTGAGGGAGACTTCAGCACACCAAGTAGGCAAACCAGGGGGCAAAGCACGTCCGCTCATACACTGACTTTATAAAAGTTCTGAGTATGTTCTCGGTCCAGATCATGTCAGAGAGCAAACACTTTTTAGATTAAAACCACTTTAAAGAAAACAGTCTGACCAAATACAGGCGTGTTCTTTCATTTTCATTTCTCCTCTCTTTCATCTGCCTTCTCCACCTCAGGGATCTTTTTTCTTTGTTGACACAGGAGTTCAGTGAATACATGCTGACACTGATGCAATAACTGTCTTTGCCTGCGCTTCTCTTTGTTTTTTTGTTTTTTTTGTTTTTTTTTTACTTTGGCCAGTCTGAGTGTTTCTCCCAGACTTTATTTTTAAGATCTCCTGTTCTGCTGAATATCAGACAATTCATGGTTATAGAAGCTGGCAGACAAAAGCAGAGAAGCAAGATGGTTAGTCTGGCTCAGTAAAAACAAACAGTCAGAGATGCCAGACTTTTCGACAAACTTCTGTTTCTATCTCTTGCAGGTATTTCTCACTATTTATTAACTGTTATGATTATTATTTAACTGTCCAAAAAGCGGGAGCGTTCCTTTAAGAAAAACAGAACATTTTTCAGTAAACGGTACAATGGGTTTTATGTAAAAAGTCATCAGTAATTTGAGATGCGAAACATTAGCACAACTAGCTAACATTTAAATTATGCCTAAACTTAAAATATTTAGCTAAAAGTAAAAACAGTAGTACAACTTTTGGAAGAACGGATACCGTTATGTCAAAAAGCTTTAACTTTTGACAAAAGAAAAAAAAACATGAACATTTTAATTTATTTTAAGACCAGAGTTACATAAAAGCCAGGAAGCTAATGCTAATTGCAAACTAAAATCTTGGTAGCTAAAATTAGACATATGTTGATTAAAAAAGAAATCTCTAATGATGTGTACAATGTAAAAAAGCCAGGAAGCTAATGCTAATTGCAAACTAAAATCTTGGTAGCTAAAATTAGACATATGTTGATTAAAAAAGAAATCTCTAATGATGTGTACAATGTAAAAATCGTAAGGAATATCTAAAGTAGTACTGTACAGAATTTAAAAACAATAGTAGCATTAGCCAGCTAACCCAGCTAAATTCAATTAAATAACTGTAAATGAACTGTAAATGAAAAGCAAAATAGCTTTAACCTTGACAAAACAGAAGGCAAAGATTTAGTAAAAGTTCTCTTATAGTCAAGAATCTGATCAAAGCAAAAAAAAAAACAACAAAAAACATATTATTACTTATCTACAAAAAGAAAGTTTTCTTTTGAAGAATTGAAAGTACAACATGGTCCGGAAACACCTGCGGTGTCGGACGAGGAAAATATAAATAATAAACTGCTCCCCGAATTAGGTAGCTAGAAGTTAGCTAATTAAAGCTACACAATTGCTCGTAGACAAAATAAAATATTTTCTGCTCCGCCGCGCAACGATATTGTGTAGCAGACAGTTTGCTACTGTAGATTCAATTGACTTTTGATCATTTAGGCGACGGAACAACTGCATCCTCCGCTGTCTTTGTTTCATGAGTGCGGTGCAGAGTCGAACTCGGAGCCCATGCTGTTCTTTAAAGAGAAGGAACGTCGAACTGCTGCCATGTGGGATCTCATTATTCCTGAGCAGCAGGGAGAACCTTTGAATTGAATTGCCATGGCCTACATCTCAATCTGTCTCGGATCAGATGTTGGATACAAATTCTCATCCAGGCTCTGTGAGGCAGAGATGTCATCGCCCTGACCTCACTTAGATCATCCACCCAGATTAGACAGGAAGAATCAGATTTTCTTTTGGTAAATAACAGTACAGTGCTCGATAAATACAAACAAAAGACTGAAGAAAAAGGGAATAAAAAAGTCTTTGATAACTACAGTAACACCTTGAGATAAGAGCGCCCCGACATACAAGTATTCCAAGATACGAGCAACCCTTCGAGCTAAAGAACGGTACACGCCAGTTATTTACAGAATCCTGTTTCCCCCCCTTCGTATTCACTGTCAGAAATCAGTTCTTTCAGTTCTCAGTTTTTTTTTTATATTTGTTTGTTATTTCTCCTATCGCTCATAAAGTAAACACTGCTAAGGGCAAATGGTTTTATTGATTTCCTAAACACCTCTTGTTGCCTTTTCTCAAACTTTTCCCTGTCTCCTTTCTTGTTTTTTTTCCCTCAGGTTTTGCATGCAGAAGAGTGCCAAATTGGTGCCCGGGGTGACGTTAGACCTCATCGAAAAGTAAGTGCCACTTCACGTCCATCTTTAGAATACCCCCACGCCGTCTCTCAGGAGACCTGCGTCGCTATCCTGTAGTCTTCGTCTCCCACCTCGTCCGTCTTGCTGTGCTGTCTTTCTTCGGCCCTCGCTGTTTTGTTTTCCATCCTGCAGGTGCCGTATATTTGTCTGTCCTCCCCCCAACTCTCACCCCTGGTGCCAAAGCTGCAGTAGTTTGACAGATTTAAAGCCGCACACTTTTCTTTTTTTTTTTTTTTTTTCAGTAAACTCGCAAGTGCCAAGTGTTTTAAAACCTGAATCTAAGGCAGTCACTCAAATCTTAATATCAGGACCCAGGATGGGTGTCGTATCCAAAGTTTTAGCAGTGTTGTAGGACCGTGAAGGTAGCACCACTCTGAAATGGACACATCAAATAGAGGTGCAGAGAAAGGTTAGAGGACTTTCATCCTTCCATGTGCGCATTTACACTCAAGAACGGATATAAAATCGGATATTTCATGAGACTATATTAGAAGGTTCTGAGATGGAGTTATAGTTTTATTGTGTACTCTTTGGCAAAAACCTCAAGGTATTTACCAAACTTAAATAGAAATTTGTTAAAATTCCTGTATATACCAGAAGAGGTCACAATAAACAAGACAAAGGCTCAACTAGAAATTTTTTTCTTTTATGAAAAGTGAACTGAACGATGCAAATTTGGCCTTTTCGTCCAAAATCTTTCTGTTAGTGAGACTTGAAACCAGAGAATGAGGTCAACATACTGTATTACTATGTTGGGAAGTAGCTTCATTTTAGTAAAATCCGGCCTGATCAACACCAAGGACAATGTTGCGTTAATAGCGTCGGGATTAAATAAACGCGTAAATGGCTCTGTCAGAATAATTATGAATAACCGTCTCAGATGCTTCCGACTTAAAGTGTTCACAGGAAAAGAAAAAGTTGGTCCAGTGTTAAAGCCCTCAGTGATTTATTTTGTTAATCAATCTCGGAGGCTTGTTTTTGATCATACAGCGGAGGCTGAACAAACTTTCGTTGTAATCTATCAACATCTTCCCGCTGACAGAAACCCTGTGGTTTCCAAAAAAAATAATTAAAAACAAAATCTCCGAGGGAATTTTTTTTTTTCAAACACTAGATTTGTTTTGCGATTTGCTGATTCTTACTTAAAGTAAGCGTTGAACTTATTCATCTTACTTCACACATCTTCTCCGCCTTCACGTCCTCTCTTTCTCTCTGAAGATTTGTTGCGACTCCACCAGATTTTTTTAATTAAAAAAATAGATATTTTTTTTTGTATTCCAACTTGTATATTAGTCATTGAAGCAAAAAAAAAAAAAAATCTTAATGAAGTGGTTCATCCAACCAATGTTGTCTAATTGACCCCTGGGTAACGTGAGTGTGAGGTAATTAGTGGGTGGTATATACATTAACTGCCAACGTATTTCCCATGCTCATACAAGATGAATGGAGCTCATCTATAATTTTAATGTGTTGTGCTTTCACCTCCCTACGTCTCATTTATCATTGTTCTTCCTTCATGAGAAATACGTCCCTGCAGTTTGTCTTTTATCTTCGTGTTTTCGTCCACCAGTTTCCAGTTTCGTCACAAAGTACTTGGGTCCACTGCACCAATGGACCAATGGGCTACCAATGGAATATGGCACGCTGGACATAAGTGTACCACTGCTGTAATGCTTGAATGATAACAAGCCTCCAGTCACTAGGTGGCAGCACCTCATACAGTGGTTTGTACAGATGAAAAAATATACTTGTTATCAGGTTCTCAATAATATTTCAATTTGTGTGGGTTAAAGGGTCGATGAAAACATTTCTGTCCCCAAGGGGGGGGCATGATAGCAAATAATTAAGAACTGCTGCTCTGATGTATGGCACAGCAAAGTTACGCAGAACTCTCGTAAAGTAAATACTAGCTAGCTAAAGTGATAACGACCGTCCTTGTGAACATGAGTCCTTTGTTCGTTAGCCCTACCTTCCCCGTCAGACCCACTCTCTCTCATTTATTTTCATTATTTTCTCCAGCTAGGATAAAGAAAAAACAAACACTCTGCTTCTGGGAAAAGGGGGTTAAAAGAACATTTATGACTCTGCACTTACTGTAAGAACAGTGTGAGCACTCAGAATTGGTTTACTTATTTATGACAAAGCTAGTTTTTACCTGACCTCAGACCTGCTAAGTTCTGAGCCAGTCAGTTTTGTACATTAAAAAAAAAAAATCCAATAAAGTCATAAAAATTCCAGGCCAAACCAGTAAACTAAAACCCTGATTTGTTTCTCAATTATGTTCTGTCATGCCCCCCCCTAGGGAGCCGACATTTTTTCACGACCCCCCAAACTGAAACACTATTAAGAACCTGATAATATGTATTTTCTTATGTATACAAACCTCCGTATGAATTGCTGCCACCTAGTGACCGGAGGCTTTTTTTATTCCATTATTTTCCCCAACCTTCCGATCTCTAAAGAGGACCCCTAACTTACCCTCATATAATTTGTTGTTGTTCTCGAGTTGATGTAATTGTCAGTTTTCACTCAAGCCAAGAAAAAAAAATACAATTAGTAGAATTTAAAACATTTTGTTCAAGTAAGACCTGGTCAACAGTGCCACTTTCCTGAGGTTCTGACTGTTGTTATGGCCTTTTCATGTGTGTGTCCTTAACAAATACGAGCAGAAACTCCTCAGGCTACATGCTGAAAGAACTACAAACATACTGTTGAGCTGTGTTGTTGTTGCTGTTGTTCTTCTTGTTGTTGTTTTTTAATTCCACTCTTTGTGTGAGCCTCACGCATTCAAAGCCCAACCAAACCAAGGTTGTGCGATAATAAAACAAAACTCTATAAACATGAAAGAAGGAAGTTCTCCCGGCGGCAGAAACGCTGACCTTTTCTGAATCGGTTCATGTGCTCTGCTGAAATTGGATTCAAGATGTTGTCAGTTCTAAACAATATTGAAAAAAAAACACTAGTAAGATATGAATTTCATGAGACGGCCGACCTTGAATTGATGTACAGGTATAGGAATGATAAAAAAAAAAGGATTGGTCTCTTGTTTGGGAGAAAACCCAAAAATGTTGCTGAAGTCAGACATTCTGCAACTTTAAGGCTTGAAAATAAAGTTTACCCAGAGTGAAGAATTCACATTAATCTGCATTAATGACACAGACAGCTTTATTTTGTAATCACCCAGGATGTAACTTAGGTCCATGAGACCTCTGCTGCTGTTTTGGTTCATTGCACGTCCAGCGGTTTTTAGTGGCCACTAAATGCCGACTCAGCTGATGTCCCCCTCGGTTAAATAATGTATAGTCTCTGTGCTCATAAAAGAAAAATGTCACTAAACTCATTCCCACCTCCCGGCCGTACCACGCTGTGCCAGCAGCTCTGATTAAAGCCAAATGCCAGAGTTAAATATCGTAGAACCCCCAGTGTAGCTACTGTAGCAGACACTTCATCATCAGCTGACTTTGTTGCGTACTAACAACTAACAACAAGAACAACAACAAATTTGCAGCAGGTTGTTTCCTCAGCCAAAAACGTAGAGGTGATGAGGTTTAAGCTGTAAAAAAAGGAAAGTTGCTTTTGTCTTCAGTTTTTGCAGCAGAACAACAGACTGTGTCACATTTCATGGACTTTAACTCAGCGTGCCCACGGTCCAGACTGTAGTCTGGATTACAGCAGATTAGGCCGAAGATAAATCTAATGCTCACACCTGCATGGCTTGTGTTGAAATATCTCTGCTGCTTAATGCATTGAACCAGCGAATATTGCATGGTTTGCATTGCGACCGATATTGTATAGGCACCAGTGCACCAGCCAGAGCTCTGTAAATTTATGGTCAGTTTCTATTGGTCAGCAGACCTTGACCCAACTTGAGGTTGGTTTACACGTAGCTTGAAGCATGCTGCATTTTCTTGAGGGAAGTCTGACCATGGATTGTACCATCTATGAAAGATGAGGTCCAGCCTCTACGCTACCTGTGCTGCAGTACTAATGCTGACCAGCAGGGCTAGTTCATAATAGACAATTGCACTGAACCCGTTTAACTACTAACCATTTTTTTCTCAACTTTCTTGAGAAATTCTGCTCATTTTTTAAACTTATTTCAGTAGTCTTCCTAAAATGAAATTTTTTTTAACTTATTTCAGTAGTCTTCCTAAAATGAATTTACTACTAGAAACAAAATGAAAATTTTCAGGGTCATTCCGAACTATTTTTCTGAATCCAGTGTTTGCTGTCCACATCAGTTGCTCTGGCTAACTGCTGCCTCTGAAAGCCTCGACGGCAGGGGTGTCAAACTCAGTTTGGTTCAGGGACCACATAAAGCCGGATTAGATGGTAAGTGGTCCGGTGGTCTGATTTTTGAAATTTGCAGTCATTTAATGGGTCCATGCTGTCCTGCATGCTAAGACATTTCGACACGTGCCTTTCGTGATCGTGATTATCTCCATAACTGATCTTTAATCATTATTTGAAGGCGTTGTTTCCCTTTCGAACCCTACGTTTCCAAAGGAGTCGGCTGCTGCTGACACGCTGATGAATTTGATCATTTCTCCGTCTCCGCTCCATCTGGTGCCTCCTTCTGTCTCTGTTTTCCACACACTGTGCGTCCAGCAACCCAGTCCCGCCTCTATCGATTCCCAACAGCCTTTTAACCATAATAAAGAGCACATGAATTTTACCTGCCTGTCAGATAACTCCGCCCCACTCACACAAGGAACACACAGGCTACAGTTAGAGCTGCTGTTGGTCATGTCATTAAACCAGTGTCCTTGGATAGATATTTAGTATTAACTAAAGTTTACCCAACTCTGCCAGTAGGTGGCGACTATTTTTTTTCCTCACCGCTCGAGAACCGATTGTTCCAAATGTCAAATCAGTGTACAAAAACACATGGACAAAAACAGTCCCAGACAGTAGTTAAAAACACAAGATAGGGTTATAAAATAAAATGAGTAAATATTGTATCCTATCATTGTGGCTATAATGTAAATTCCTTATCATAATGTCTCTGAACTGAGACATAACTGTTTTTGAACGGCGCAGCTTGTAAAATATGACCTATTGTTTTGTGCCAGAGCTGCTGTCATCATGCATTTTACAGCGTGTGATGAACGACTCTGGCATCAGAATCCATTCGGTATTAAATTAGGTTTCAGTCTTTGGTCGTATGCACGTTGTAACTTTAGTCTGTGCTGAGCAGCTGCAGAGGCTCAAACCCCGTTCTTCAAGTCAAGAACCAGGTCTTTATTTGGAGATTTTTTTTTTTACCAGTCACCATTTCTTTCAAAAATGTCTTGTCATTTAATGTCTGCCTTTTTTTATATATCTTTAAGCCAGTGACCCCAGAGACCTTTTGGTAGCTGTCACTTGTGCAGTCACGTGTTTCGAGATGTCAATCAAGATGCCCCAGCTCAGATATTTTTATATGCTGCATTGATTTATCTTTGTGAAAGTGAAAGAATGCAGTTGTTTAAGATTGTGTGGTGTCTTTAATCATAAATTTTAAAATAATAATTTTATCAGTAATTTTTTTTAAATCAATTTTCTTGAATTCCAGATGACCCCACGAGCCCAGTGTTGAAAAACACTGCTTTTAAATACAGTACTTTCCACATTTAAAATAGCCATGTCATTTTTTATTTTTTATTTTTTACCTTTGTAGAAGAGGTTTTATTAGTAATCCTTTTGCTGAGTGGACATTATTTGAAAAGACCTGAAAAGGTGGTCAACATCACTTTATTTAATTATTGTTCCTTATTTAATTAATTTCATAGGGTTTTTTTTTTTCTTTTTTTGTTATGATGAGCAATTTTTCAAATCAAGCCTGTCGATGCAAAATGTTTTTTTAATGTCAATTTGGTCTGTACAGAAACAAAATATTTTTTACCTAACTTGAAAAACAAAGTTTTTAAAATTTTTATTTAACTAGAAATATTTAATTGATTCTGACCGATGTCCATCAGTTGTCTTCTTGGCTTTGACGACTAGATAAAGAACAGAACTCCAGGACAATCTTTCAAAAATATAAACTTAGCTTTAATATAAACCCCAGATAGTTCTTCTACTCGGTGGACTCACAGCTGTGCAGAATACTTAAGTGTACTCCAAAAATGATTTTGTTCAATAAACTTTTTTTTTTTTTTTTTGGGAAAACCAGAACCGACTGGAATGATGGCACTTCAGTGTTTTATAAAGGCTCATCTAGTTTTGATTGATGACACAATCTAGAAAGTATCTACAAGAGCATTTTTCTGGCATTTTCTTCAGCCCGTCCATCCATCCATCCATTCATCCATCCATCCATCTCCGCTGTCTCCCTGTGTTTCTGTAAATATATTACGCTGGATCCTGAGGAAGGATGGGAACTGCTGAGTGCTCATCCTTACTGCTGACTTGCCAAACACCTTTGGCAGGAACTCAAAGTGCTCCGTGTTGGCCCCTCTTCTCCTGCTTATACAGTCAGCTCCTGTCTGCCAGGAGCTTGGAAGCTGCTATTATTGGTCACTTAGAGGTGGAAATGGGAGTTTTTAGGTCAGTGGGAGTTCAGACGACCTTTGTTTTGGAGCACATTGACTTTATATGGTGTACATCAGGCATGTCCAGACTCTTTGGACCAGATTTGATGGCATGGACTTTTACTTAGCAGTAAACAATTTTATATATATATATATATATATATATATAAAAATTATAATAATATATATTAACCTTTATACAGTAGTCCCTCGCTATTTCGCGATTCATGTTTCGTGGAAGTTTATATTTATCCGCTGTAGAAAAATCATGCTGCAAATCCAACTAACCTTTAAATCCCAACACTCCCTAAAGGGATTTGCATCAGGAGGAGTCTCCTGGTATAAAAACGGTGGGAAATTACTGATGCTACTGTAGCGTTGGCTGATGAGGGGACGAGCCGAGCCTAGGGCAGTTATTTTTATTATTATTATTAATTTTTATTCTTCCTTCACTTTGTGAAATGACCAAATCTGCTTCAACACGTCTGTGATAAAACCCTGACACAGGAGCTGTCAGGTGCATTTATTTCTCATCATGTGCCCAAATGTGGAAATTCATTTTTGGCGCTCCCTGAACACACCTCAGCCCCGCGGGCCAGTATTTGAGCCACATTTGATCCTTTAAAATCATTTTTTCTGACAGGTGTAGACAGTGTTTGTGTAGTATAAGCTAAGAAGCCACAATGTTTTAAACGTAACTACTTGATTTCACTTTATTCTGCGCGGTATACTTTTAAATAGCGCTTTTTCAGTGCTGCGGTTTGTGATGTATTTTTCAAATAACTTTTTATGTTTTCTTTCCCTCTCGCTTCTGTGTGTTAAAAGTGATAAGGATGTTGCAGAAATTTAAAAAAAAACCAAATGGAGTACATATACGTCTTCCCCTACAGTCTGTTCTCGAGTGAACGCTCTACCGTTAAGACTAACAAGGAACATGATCTGCCTGTGGCTGAGTGGAGGCGAGAGCACTCAGAGGGCAGCTTCATTTGTACCGAGCACATCCTGTCTGAAACCTCAAAATTCAAAGGAAACGCCACAGTCTTATCCTGATTTGTAGAGGCTTACATCATTTTAGAACCTCTTTAGTTGTCACAAAGTGGTTGCTCATGCTAGGTAAGCATTGCAAGGGATGCAAGACGCCAGATTGGATAGCCATGAATATAAAAAATAGATACAGACGATTTAGGAGAGGAGCACCACCAGAGGAAAATTACCAAAAATACTGTGTTTGGGTGCGACGCCCCAGCTCTGCTCAGACTTTACAGCTCTTATGCCACGAGACCAAAGCATGTGCCGCGGCAGCCGAACCCATTATTTTAGTGGTAAAGGAAACATCATTGAATCACGAACATGGCAGAAAGGGTTCGACAAGAGATGGATGCAAACTGAGAGAGGAGCTGAGCAAAGGGGCGTTATGCAATTAATAATAATAACTTTGAGGGCTATTGTTGTGTTAACAGCAGCTCTGCTTTGATAGGCTGTCCCTCAGAGGACCCAAGTACAGTTCCTGGTTCCTCAGGAGCTGGAACTCAGGACCCCCTGAGTGTAAGGCAGATGTGTAAGCAGACATGATAACCGCTACACTATGGAACCACTAACACAGCCTCCCCATTGGGGAATTAAACCCCAGTCTCCTGCGTGATGGGCGGGGATACTCACCACTATATAGGAGCAAACTGGTGTCATGTGTGTGGCACGCACACTTTGTTTCTGAACAATTTTGCATATAAAATATATATGCAAATGTGTGCATATATATACAGTATATGCATATGTATATATATATATATGCATATATATATATTTATATATATATATATGCATATATATTTATGTAAATATAGTATTAAATATATATCATATATTTTATATATTAAAGTATATAAATATATTTTAGTATATTTATATTGGAAATCAATGATTCGCTGTGGCAACCCCTGAAAAAGGGACAAAGCTGAAAGAAAAAGAAGATGCATATATATTTATATATGTATATATATTTTTATTTTAAATATATCTCTGTTTGTTTATATATTTTTATACATTTATGTATGTATGTATAGAAGTATGTATATATATATATTTATATATATTTACATATATCTATAGATCTGTACTCATTAATACTTTCATTTCTAATCTCAGTAAACGGTAAAATCCAAATCACATCATACGTGTTATATACTCATCCTACTAGAACTATATAAACACAAATGTTGAATAGAAACACCCTAGGTCCAATAACGGTATGCATAGACGTGGTCTCTGCCGTTGTTCATATCCATCCTGTCCCCTTGTATCTGATGTCTAAGCAAACATGAATACTGAATCGTCGGCCTCTCTGACTAAAGTGCCTGCGCTCAGATGATATGACTCTGAGTCAGCCGAGTGCTGTACACAGACCGTGGCTGACAAAGTGCCATCTGTGTTTTGTTTGTGGTGCAGGATCCCTGGCAGGCTCAACGACAGACGCACTCCGCTCGGAGAGCTCAACTGGATCTTCACAGCTATCACCGATACCATCGCCTGGAATGTGCTGCCGAGAGGTGAGGCCGTTCATGAGCAGGCACACACACACATACACACAAGACGGAGAGATGATACAAGTCGCATGGTTTTTTCGACACTGAGCATCTTAGGCAACAATTCAAGTTTGAGATTAGCACCAATTTCAATTGTCTGGAGATGATTAGGAAACACTTAGGAGCTAAAGCAGCTAAAGAAAGTTGTACTTTGAAATGTAGAGGGGTTTAAAGAGACATAGTGCCGTTTTTTTAATTGAAAGTGCAGATTTATTTCTTTTAATTCTTAGTCAAGCTGCATGAAAACAATTCTGCTCATTGGATTCGGAGTTGTAGTGTTTAGTGCTTTTGTCTTACAGCAAGAAGATCTCCAATTGCAGCTGCAGTCCCTGGTCTTACTGTAGTTTTGAATGATCTCTCAGTATGTGCTTTAGTACTCTGAAGTACTTCTTCCACTGTCATCCTGATTGGGGATTTGGTTGTTTGCACAAGTATGACCTCAAACATCTTCCTTAATTTTTATACGTTGATCCAGTTGTTTGTTTGTTTTTGCCAAATGTGTGCTTTGAAAAAAGTATTATTTTGTTAGAAATGCAGTATTTTTATGTTTTGGTCAATATTTGGCAGCTGTAGTGGAAATAAGAAATCATGGGAAAACAAAGGCTCCGATGAAGCCTGGCTCAATTTCTTTTTTCATATTTACTGACTATGAGGTCTATATTCTTGTTGTTGAAATCCCCCCAAAAAAATCCTAGCCACGCTGTTTATTTCAACAGTATGTGTGGTTTTCTCAGAGCAAATATAAAATGATCAAATTTTCATGGAGCTTGTTGGAGAGATGAGCACAGTGTTACCATAATCACTAAAAATGATTCTGAAAACCCAATCACGAGCCCTGATGTGGAGAACAAACAAACAAACTCTCAGCGTTGATTGGTGTTGAAGATGAAGGAGTGAAGTCGTTGTTGTTGTTTGCGTGTTATCTCAAGCCAATGATGAAAAATAAACTGTTTCTGCTTCTGCTCAAATTAGCGCCCCCCATTGAAACCAGTGCAGGAGTGAAGCATCAGTTTAAAAACCAAGGGAAGACACTCACGTGAAAATGGCAGCGGTGCAGTAAAAAAACAGACTCCGGCTCCTTCAGTTGAGACGGATTGTGTTTTCACACCGTCTCAACTACTAATTGTGATTCCATCATTTTACCCGACTGTGGGGACCGTATAGTATAGTCATGTACAGAGACCCACACAGACAGAACTGTGTGTGGTGACAACATGAGAATACACGCTGTTACTCACAGGCTGCCCTTTGCAAAACACACACACACACACACACACTCTGGCGCATCGTTTTAAACACGTACTTGTCTCCTTTCCAGCAGAGAAATATAGAGAAACTGGATCCTCACTTTAATCTAACAGTTATTACCTCCAGATTACAGATTATGTAATGTCCCCATAAGGACAATCTGTACCCTTGGTAATAGTATTTTTCAAAAAAAAAAAAAAAACATAACACACACTGATTAAAAATGAAGACAAAATGTAATTAGGTGATTTATTTGTCACGGTTGCACAGCACGCCACGGCAAACAATAAAAAGTGTCCTCTGATTTTATCACACCGCCATAGTGAGAAGGGGGGGGACAGCTCAAGGTAAGTGTCCGAGGAGCAGTGTGTGGGGATCGGTGCCGTGCTCACTGCACCTCAGTCGCACCTCGGGGGGCTGGTGGATTCGAATCTGACACTTTGACAATTCTGATCCTACCTCCAGACTACGTCTAACGTCCCTGTAAAGACAGTGTGTCCCCTTAATAATAGTATATTTACAAAAACGTCCACGCAGTTGTAGCGATACCCACATAACACACACCCTGAACCCTTTCCCGAACTATAATCTGACCCTTGGTCTAATCCCACCTCCGGCCTGAATCAAATGTCCCTGTTATTATAGTGTCCCATTCATATGGGTATTTTTTTACAAATATGTCCCCACAAGTATAGCCGCATTAATAGGACACACACACTCTGAAGTTCAGATTTTGTGGGGGACACCAACTTTTAGATTACTCCTCAGTAACACTGTGATAATTCAATTAACTTCTCTTCATTCAAACGTTTTAATACTAACAGCAAATATTTGACTGCAGTGTCTCTGTTCCTTCCCACATACCCAAACTCCGGCGCCCGCACCACAGTCGTGGAGCAGAGCAGTTACGTAAGGATCGTCTGAGCCCCATTGGAGTGAATAAGTGACTACATTAATGAGCTAATTAAAATGTGACCAGGACACATGGCTGTGTTCTGAGAGCTCCGACTTCGCCAATCCTCTCCAAAGCAGCCACTTTACTCTAAATAACCTTTGTTTTTCTTTTCTTCTAGTTGGATATTCATGGACTAATTTAGCTTTGTTGGCTTCCCCCCCCACTATGCCACTCTCGTGTCTCTTGCAGGATGGTTAATGCCGCTCCTGTCTTTGTCCTTCAGATTTGTTCCAGAAGCTGTTTCGTCAGGACCTGCTGGTGGCCAGCTTGTTCCGTAATTTCCTGTTGGCAGAGAGGATAATGAGGTCGTACAACTGTACTCCAGTCAGCAGCCCCCGCCTGCCCCCCACATACATGCACGCCATGTGGTAAGTTAGCAGAGATGTCACGCAGGACAGGTGTTTCGTACAGGTGCTTTCAAAGTACGTACCTGTACTTATGCAGTTTGCACGAGTGATACCACCAGATACTGCAGTGGTGACCTTACTGGTTTTTGAGGGGGGGGTCTCATGGAAATGCTGAATAGACCTGTTAAAACCGTCAGCAGTGAGTTGATGGCTCCAATTATCTCACATGAAAATTCTCCAAAAAAAAGTACTATATTTATCAGACTATAAGTTGCTCCGGAGTATAAGTCGCACCAGGCAAAAAATGCATAATGAAGAAGAAAAAAAAATATATATATAGGTTGCTCCGGAGTATAAATTCTCCCGGAGTATGAGTCGTGCCACCAAGCTAGCATACTCTCAAGCGGCTGTCAGTGTTAAAATGACGAACATGTAAATTTTCAGTGCAACATGAGTAGCAGATACTGGTACACAAGCCTAGAGTGCCCTCTAGTGGCTTTCTGTGTGAAAATAACAAACATGAAATTTATAAAAGAAAAGAAAATTATATATTTTAATGTATAAGTCGCAAATCCAGCCAAAGGAAAAAGTCCAGAAAATACAGTAATTATATTTGTTGCAAACAAATAGCTAAATTGCGACATATACTAAAATATATAATTTCACATGTTTATTTTCACACCGACAGCCTCTAGAGGGCACTCTAGGCTTGTGTGCCAGTATCTGCTACTCCCGTTACGACTAAAATATATAATTTCACATGTTTGTTATTTTCACACGGACAGCCTCTAGAGGGCACTCTAGCTGGGTGGTGTGACATACTCTGAGGGGCTTATATTTATGTTTTTTTTTCTTCGTCACTATGCATTTCTTTTTTGGCTGGTGCGACATATACTCTGGAGCAACTTATTGTCCGGAAAATTGTAAAACTTTTTTGGTTTAAAAGATAATTTTGCGTGTTTATTGACATCTTGGCAATAATAATTGAGGAAAATTCCTCCCATTGATTGACTCTTTAACGCTCAGAGCACAGGGGCAGCGAAACGTCTTAAATTGGGGTTTTGACCTCGTGAAGTGATGTCAGACGTATCTGTTTGGTTTAAGAAAACAGAACAGGAAATAAAGCTGCGGCAACTTAACATTCCATTCACACCACCATGTCAGAGCGGTCGGGGGGGGGGGGGGGGGGGGGCGTTGGTACTCTGTTCAGAGCGCCCATGAAGCCTCTGAGTGCAGACAAACAAGACAGCCGGCACAGATGTTGGCTGCAAATCATTTAAAATAACGTCTTTGATTTCTACCGAATTAATGCTCTTTACGTTTTAGTCAAGATCTTTTTTTTTTTCTTTTTTTTTTGTATGTGCAAATCAGACAGAAGCTAATTGCCATCACAATGAAAGAAGTATAGGGCTAATGAGATGTACAACTTTTTTTTTTGCTACCTTCTCAGGTTATTCGTTTGTGGGTGTCCATTTTTTAAGAATCTCAGGTGACCTCAGATATTAAGATTTGAAAAAAAAAAACCAAGTAAATTGACTAGAGCAGCACAAGTTAATTTTTTATTATTGCATCAGTACATATTTTGATTATGTATTCACAATCATGTTATTATTATTATTATTATTATATATAGTGTCCATTAGGGCTGGAACATCAATCTGACTTGGGATGGACATAATTACTTTCTACTTTAGTTAAAAATCTGCCTAAATGCATGTAAAAAAAAAAAAAAAAAAACATTTAATCGATATGTTAAAGATTATAGGTTATCTAAACCTGGTTAATAGTAAATAATCACTATACATATATATATATATATTTTTTTTTGAATTGTGTTGCAACACATTGTTTTTGTGAACGTCTTGCATGTGTAGAGAAAAGACATGTTGAGTATATTATGGGATTGAGGCTGTAAAGACCATGCACTTAATCATCTGTTTTACTGTACATGTCAAGTAGGACATGACACTGTCAGGGTGAAATAAATACAGGTTTCACAGACTCTGGCATCAAATCTCACTTTGTCTTTGGTTGAGTCCAATCATGACTTAATTTTCTTAGCCCTGATTCCGAATGAGTTCCTCTATGTTTACTGTACAAACAAGGGAAGAACTCACGAAACTTAGCGCTTTAATTACATTCACAACTGCTCAAAATAAATGTTGTGCGAGCAGGTGCGCTGCAGAGAGTGTAGGTGTTTCATTTCCTTCACTCCTCCACCTTGCGTGTGTGTTTGTGTGTCTGAGCATAATGATCACAATGATGTGTTTCTGTGTATGTTGTGAGTTGATTACACACACACACACAGTTGGTCTCTGCCTCAGAAACACACAGAGGTGAGCAGTGTCTCCTCTGTCAGCAGCCCCCTGTTAGACTGACTGCAGTGCAGACAAGTTGTTCATAGATTTGTGACACTGCTCCTGCTTCTGTGGCCCACAAACACACACAACCAACCTGCAGCTGAAAAAGTCCAGCTTTGAGTGAAAGCAGCAAAGAAAACCCCAGGGAAAATTATTAAAAGATTTTGTGGGACATGTCAGACATCTCTGGGTGAAGCAGAGCTGGCAGATTTAGGTTAAAGGCTGTAGCACCAGAGACCTGAGCAGCACATTTGGGATTTATTATATATATATATTTTAAAACATTGAGGAATTAATTAGATTCAGCTTAAATCCAGAGCCAAAAATTCCTAACGATGTTCAAATAAAGGCATTAGTGGGTGAATCATTTTTGGAAGATTATACGAAAGCTGTTTCCCTTGATTTGGACTTACATGCTGTACTTTGTTGAACTAATATACTGTACATAAGTACCTATGTCACACACTCTTGTTAACACAGTGGTAACATCAACATCTAAAACAGGGATCCCCAACCCCGGTCTGGTAACGATCTGTAGACAGTTTGGTACCAGGCTGCAGCGGGACACAGAGAAATAATGTATTTTATTTTTACTAATTTATTCATTCAAAGAGAATCCCCTCACTATTTACTTTCTTTATTTAAAGCTAATGGCAATATTTAAAAATCATTTCCACAATACTAACAAATCTAAAAAACATTTAATGATCCTTAATGATAATTGATGATTAATTAATTGAACAAGCGGTCCACAGTAGTGGTCGGTACCGTCGTAGCGGTTGGGCCTGGAAGCCACGAGTTCCCAAAAAATAAAAAACAACTCGACTGTAGCACAATCCAATATATGAAGTACAAACGGTGAATGTTAACGCTATCTTCCGTGTATAGCGCCACGTGACGAAGTATTTGTCCGTTCCGCTACTTCCGAACTAGTGCAAACTAGTTGGCGAGTTAAACGTCGTACGTCGGAATGATGGAACAAGACTTTTGTTTATAAATGTATGGAAGATGGCGACGTAGCCACGAAGCGCTAGTTGGACTGCGTTTACGATATATTTACATGTCCTGGGATACAATATAAATGTTTGATGTAATAAGTCGAGTTTTTTCAATTAATTCGAAAATTAATGTAGGTCGCCCACTTATTATTAATTACTATTCCGATAAACTTAAACAACTTTTTTTGTCATCTTTCTACTTTAAAAAAAAGATTTTTGCGCTCTGCATAGCAATCACAGCTACTTGCGTTCGTGCTCACGGCAACATGTTTCGCACTGAGGCGCCTCAAAGATGAGAGAGACTCCGCTTTTTGAATCTGTCAATAGGTTAAAAAAAAAAAAACACACCCAAGAGCTGATAAGTACTACGGTCACGACTTTCAACGCTGTTTACCCAGCTTTCTGATGCGCTTCAGACTGACCGCGTGCGCCTTCTCTGCGAGTCAATAAAACTTGAGGTGCGTTCCTACCACCTGCAGAGTTTTAACGTCAGAGTAAACAAACCCGATTTTGTCTGAGATAAATACATAGAACGTATTATACTTATACTATACTTCAATGTATTATTATGAATAATAATATTCATAATAATAATATCCAGACACAGTCAAGGCAAGGCCTCAGTACCTGAGCCTCTCCTCCTGCATGTCGAGGCTTGGGAACCAGACTCCTGTTAGATAATCAGGATGCAGCGCAGGTTCAGGATCAGCCTCTCTTTCTGTTTTCACCTGCTTCACACCAAACTTGAAAGTGTTAATTGGCCAAAAAAAAAAACCCAAAAAACTTCTTACTTTCACATTTTCTTTTTTCGTCAAAACATCAAATCAGAGGCGCTTGTATTGTGATGATTAACAAGCGGACTCCGGTTATCGATTAGTTCTTTGTGTACTTTTATTACCGCCATTGTACGCGGACACGGTGACAGAGACGCTCCATCGTCCGCTGGCTTTGTTTTTGTCCGCACTCTCTCTCTCTTTCTCTCTCTCGATCATCATTTATCTCCCTTTAGCTCCACAAACATGTCTCCCACTCTCTATTGTCTCTCCTTTCAGAGACTATAAATGCCTCGCTCTCCCACTCATTATCAGCCTCTCTCGCTCCTGTTTTGCCGGAGGAAGAGCTTGTTGTGTAACTCTCTGGCAGCGCTCGTTGTAAAGACTACCACACTTTCTGTCCGTCCATCCTGTACTCAGCCAATAAGTTCGGACCGTGGCCGTGGTGCAGTAGACGAGAGGATTTGTTGAATTTAGTATAAAACAGAACAGGGTAAAAACAGTGATGACTTCTCAGACAGAGGACATTTGCTTTTTAAAAAAACTGTCCAATATTTCCATCCAAGTAGTCATCCGTACTTTTCTGAGTATTTTAAAACATGCCAATTCCAAAATCTTCCCGTGTCTGTCTCCTAACACTCCTTCACAGCTTTACTCTGTCCTTAAGTCTTACCGTCGTCACTTTGCAACTTCACTCCTTTCAGCTTTACCAAAAAAGGTTTTCGGTTTTGTTTGATGGAGTTTAAAGAAGCTCAAAATACTTGCAGAACTGCAGTTAAAGCTTGCTGTAAATACTCAAATATTTGCCAGAAAAACTTTGCGTGTCCATTTCTATGACCTTTGTGTGATCTTTAAAAAAAGTCACGTCGGCAAAACAGTTCCCCTCGAAGGGTCAGTTGTAACTGTAAGACTCTTTTATTCAAGTTACAGATACTGTGCGTTTGCTCTGTGTAATTAAAACAAAATGATCAGGTTAAGAAACTTGGACATTATTATAAGGAAAACGCTTTCTAAGCTCCTGCGGGCCACACAAAGTGACCTAGCAGGCTGCATTTGGCCCGCGGGCCTTAAGTTAGACCAGGCGTGGGCAAACGTTTTGCCTGGCGGGGCACAGTTGTCCTGAAATTGAGCAGGGGGGCCGGGTCAGGAGCAGATAGATGGAGTGTTGGTGTGAACTTAGATAAATGACATGTAAAAGTCATGCATAAAGGCTAAAATGCCATCTATTGGGGAAACATGGGTATCGCAGGAGGCCGGATTAAAAAGCTGACCGGGCCACATCTGGCCCCCGGGCCTCAGTTTGCCCATCCCTGAGTTAGACACATGCAGTCAATGTAATCAGTTGGTCCTGATCTTCAGAAGAAGTGATTCTTCTAGCAACGGTTAATGAAGTCCAGTGACTCATTTGTTGGGGGCAACTGATGCCTATTCGATAATTAGCGGACTTCAGGGGTTCAAATCCTGCTGCTCACCACCGTTTTGGTTCAAAGCTTACAGCTACCAAATCTTCTACAAAGATATTTGTGGGTCAAAAGGTGAATTGGTGGCATCATTTACACTGATATGAGATCCGTACCCTCCAATCTTCTGCCCAGGTCTGTTCACAGTATAACACAGGTTATACGTTATAATCCCATCAAGTTGCCTTTAACATCTGCCGAGTCATTGCACATGGTTGGGACGATGGTCTCCAATCTCCACATCCTCTTACATCACATCCGCATCCACAGACCCAGAGCAGTAAGAGCCTATAGAGTCTAATGGAAGTCTTCTCGCAGGTGCTCCACTCTCCCAGATGACTCAGCATTAGCAGCAGCAGCGGCAGCAGAAGAAGATGAAGCGATGAGAACAGAGGGCCCATTACTTTATCATGTAGAGAGCTCCGTCTATGTGACATCCAGAGAAGGATGAGTGCAATGCAGAGACAGAGAGGAGAGCAGGCTTTCACTGAGTGGAAATCATTTTCGCCGTAACGGTAAATCATACTAACGGCACTTGATTGGTTGCAGATGGCTGTGTAGGTTCTCAGTCATCCGGGTCATTTTATACATCACTCAACAGGGGAGGTGGCTAAGGACTACAGCGTCGGTCGTAATGGCCCTGAGTTCCTTTCCTGGAAAACTCAACTCTCATACGACAGATAACACGGACAGACACCTGGACCTGGGTGTATGCAGCCTCCTGTCGTTGGGTCAGGGTGTGGATTCAGGGATTCAGCAGAAGGGACCTCTTTCTTGAGCTAGTCCAGTTGCCCACTGCTGAGCTTTTTAGGAGTTGCCATGTGACCATGAAGTCTATCAGCTACGTGCTTTCTTTTTTTGTTGCCCACTGCTGAGCTTCTTAGGAGTCTATCAGCTACGTGCTTTCTTTTTTATACAGCCTTTATACAGTCTATTACACGTGTGTCAAACTCGAGGCCCAGGGATCAAATGCAGCCTTCCAATTTTTTTTCTTTGGCCCGTCGGAGCTTCTCAACCTGATAAATTGTTCTTAGTACACAGAAATAGACTATATTTGTAACTTGAATAAATAATAAATTGCAGAAACCGCCCCCCCCCCCGGTTTAACCAGTCTTAGAAAAAACCTGGTTACTAATGCTCCTACAACTAGATGTCTCGGTTCATTGGCAATAAAATTATGAAAATATATAAAATATATGTATGGAATCATGTATGGAAACGTAACCCTAGTACCGTAACTTCCCCAACCACAAAAGTTGCAGGTGATAATATTTAGGATAAGCGATGAAAGACCTCGTTTGATTGATCTGTAAATTTACCCTAGCGGTCAAGTAGCTAGTGGTCAGTTAGTCGTGGACAGAGCTTTGGTAGAGAGCAGGTTCTGTAACCATTCTAAAAAATATAATATTAGATACATAGTTGTTGTGTAAGTAATAATAATAAAAACAAGACTACACGGAACCCTGAGCCAATACTGATACTACTACTTGTAGTAATAATACTAAACCACTCCTTTTATGACTGACGCCTTCGTAGCGTGAACATCTGCTCCTAATAATGCAGTAATGTCTTTGTTGCTGCTGCCTGGAAGGCGAAACATTCTCTCATGCCAAGGTGGCAGCTGGATTTATAAATCCTCCTGTTTAGCCTCAGTTTGTAGCAGCTGACTCGACTGCAGCCCTAAAACACTTTTTTTTCCCCTCCTTAGTTAAAAAGAAGCTGATGGAACTCACGCTGCACCACCGGCTCTTATTTACCTCTGCTTCCTTTAATTACACTACAGCGCAGCCCAGCACTCACATGCGCTAATGTGTTTTTCGCATGTTGCGCATACTATGCATGACAGCGGTGGATACATTATGTCCTCGGTAATAATGAAGTAATGTCTATCGCAGCACTTTGAGCTAATGGGCTGTTAAAGCCGCAGAGAGAATCTGATCGAACGCGAGCCATCAACGCTCACTTAACCAGCATCACACGCCATCATCAAGAATGACACGACCGTAATGCTAACACCACTGATGAGCACAGCCATGTTCCAACTCAATTTGACTCAGGACACAATTTCAAGGAACCATACTGTGGTGGAAAGAACTGTTTTGGGCAACAAACACGTTGTCACTCCCCAACAAGGACAGCAAGTAAATGGTTGTTTTGTAGCTGCTTTTCTGCCCTACAGTAGTCCTTGGTGTTAAGTTAAAACTTCACTAAAGTACAGGAAGTATCAGGCGGGTCCACGCAGACAACGTACTCCAGTTCTTTTGTAGGACTTTCAACTGACACTCATAAGGATTTGGAAATCCAAGCGCAGCTTTTATTTACCTTTTTTTTTTTTCGGTATTTTTATTCATCCTTTGGCTAGGTTTGCGACGAATACTCAGGTGCGACTTATATATTAAAATATACAATTTCACATGTTCACACTGACAGCCGCTAGAGGGCACTCTAGGCTAATGTACCAGTATCTGCTACTCCTGTACCACTGAAAATGTCCATGTTCGTTAATGACACACTGACAGCCGCTAGAGGGCACTCTAGCTGACTGGTGCGATTTATACTTCGTAGCAATTTATGGTTGTTTTTTTTTTCTTCATTATGCATTTTTTGGGTCTGGAAAATACGGTATGTTGCTAAGGACACCTATGAAATTCTTGAATCGGGAACAAAAATGTTGTTAAAATCTTTTCAAAGGCCTATTTGCATAATCTTAATCCGACTTTGACTGCAATAAAGTAGAAGCACGGGCAGCCATTTTTACTTGAGGTATTCAGCTTCCTGAATGTGGTTCTTACAAAATGCTGCCTGTTGTCTCACTCACGGTTAGGTAAAACGAAATGACGTGTTTTTCAACCAACATGGACAGAATATCCGCCACTAGCTACAACTTGATTAAGACTATATCAGATGCTGGTACCTGCTTGTAGTTCCTGTTCCCCATGGCCTGAACATACATAGTTCCTGGTGTTGTCCTAATTTTCGAATACCAGTTCGTGCAGTGTGAATGTGTGGGAATGAACTCCATTGAGAACTAGATCTTTTTTACAGCAAAGAAAATAGAGTAGAAGTGAAGGGAAGACGGACAGAAAGAAAAGGAGAGTAGGAATGCTGTGATGAGGCTGGATGTGAGTTACATAACCTCATGAATTAGATATGATGACCAAGAGAGAGGAGCTGCTGTTGAGAATGTGATTAAAGGCTCCCTGCTGCCCTCTCCAGGACCTCAGAGCATGCATTTTAAATAAAATATGTATTTATATTGCTTGTTCACGGTGAAAGAGTAAAGAATTGGGGGGTGGGGTGGGGGGGTGAGATGATGATGTGAAAGGTGGAATGAGTCAGTTAATAAATGCCACTGACACTACGGATGTTGTGCACGGATCTTTTTTTTTTTTTCTCATTGATTTTATTATTTTTTTTCCTTAGCATATATGTCTATGTAATGGACGTGTACAGTAGTGAATCAGAGAGCTAATGTGGTTTGTTTTTGTGTGTGTTTTTCCGCAGGCAGGCGTGGGACCTGGCTGTAGATATCTGCCTCTCTCAGCTGCCCACCATCATCGAGGAGGGCACTGCCTTCAGAGTAAGTAACACGGAGCTACAGAAGAGGCCGCTGTCTGTTTGCATGTGTGTATACTGTATATGTACATACTTGTATATGTTTATATATATGTATATATATATATGTCTATGTATCTATACACGTGTGTTTATATATATATGTATATATATATATAAACACACGTGTATAGATACATAGACATATATATATATATTTACATATATATATATATTTACATATATATATATACATATACATTTATGTGTTACCAGTGGACTCACCACCTGCAGGAAGGTTCGGGGGGGTTGGTACGGTGCAGTGTGATTTTGGGTGGAGACTGCTGTCCCCGCGACCCGGTAACGGATAAGTGGATGAAAATGGATGGATGGATGGACGGATGGACGTTTATGTGTGTATGCATATACTGTATGTACATGCATTCATGCAAAATAAATACACGTATATGTATGTGTATATATGTACATATATTTTTATATGTACATATATAAATATATATGTTGATGTATCTATACATGTGTGTTAATATGTATATATATATATATATACATATATACTGTATGTGTATATATTGTATACATTGTAAAACACTGAAAGTGTGGGGACACTTGTTATATTTTTTAATCTTTAAGGCTACAGTAGGGGGCAACGTAATGCATAATTTGTATGCAAACTTCTCGGTAAACACAAGAAAACTGTGTGTGTGCGTGTGTGTGCACGTGTGTTTGGCTGACTTGTCCAGTTACAGGTACATCAGGCCATGATGGATGACTCTTATGTTGGAAATGTCTCCACTGTAATCCTCACACTGTTGTTATCTGCACTGCAGCTTCTCCACCCTTCTATTACACACACACACACACATTCTTGATCTCTCTCAGTGGGTAACTTGTAAAATGCCATGTCTAATAATTCCAGTGTGAGTGTCAAATAATGGCCGCAGAAACCACAAGGCTCTGCACTTTTGCCCTCTGGTGTGTTTACCCCTATGTTTACCGAAGCGTCAGGAGACCATGATGGAGGTGCCGAGTGTAATGGAAACACACCCCACCAAAAAACCAAAAAAAAACAACCCAAATATGACTTAAGATTTCTGGGTTAGTGTAGATTATATGTGTGCCCATGTGCCTGTGGGAAATCCAGGGCAGGAAAGAAACTTTTATTAACCAGGGTCCTGTTCCCTCTGTGAAATACAGTCCTGTTCTGGAGCTGTTGGATCCGTTTTCAGAGCAGTTGCTCAAATGCTAAAAAAATAGCTTTATAGTTCTGTCAGGACAGAGACAGGGCTTCAGGGTGTCTGACTGACTGTGAGACAGCCCTTTTAATCTTTACTGCCTTAATGTTAATGTTTAAATAACAATATTTAAAATTGAGGCTAACATCTAGCCTTTTACTTCAGCATTAACTTTTTAATATATTTTTTGCAATAAAAAATTGTTACAGTAAATGCTAAAATGTATAGGTCTTTCTGTATATATTTGCTTTTTTTATATATATATATAAATGCTAAAATGTATAGGTCTTTCTGACTGACGTAGCATATCTCATTGGTTTTGTATTGAAAAATGTTAGCATTTACTTAGCTGCATATCTTGAATTCATTTTAAGGTCTAAGCAACAATTATATAAATGTCATTGCTAACTGACTCTCACGAAGCAAGGGGATATTTTTGAAAGCAGTGTCTGTGTCTTACGGAAGCCTGGATGGACATTTGCAAAGAAATATTTTTCTTAGCTATTTTGAAGACATTTTGAGTAATTTTGACTTATATATTAACCAATTTTTAGCTAATTATTTTAGCTAACTTTGAAGCTATTCATAGGCTTCCTTTTTGTTTCAGGTTGCGCCTCTCAGATATATTTGTTCCCAGCAAACTTGTCATTTAGCTTCTAAATACAGTTAAATATATAAGCAATAAATATAAATAATATATATATATAAATAAATAAATATAAATAGGAATTCACCATGCATTGAGAGACCAGGTGTTTTGTCAACGTCAATGGCATTTTTTTTTATTTTTTTTTTTTAGATTTTATTTTGGTTCAACCCTAGTGCTGAGAAGTTCCGACAATGCCTTAAAAACACAGTCTCATTACAAAAGTATAAAAGCAGGAAACTGACACCAGAGCAGGTTTTTTTTTTTTTTTTTTTTTTTTTGACGTTAGCACTTTTATCTGGGCTCTTCTACTTCTTCACCTGGTCGTCGGAGGTGAGCGTCTTCTCTATTGCTCCTCTGGGAGCAGTTTTCCCTCCTCCCCGCTTCTCCTTCTATCTCCTGCACTCAGCCTGAAAACACTTACTGCTACTGTAATTGAGCCTCCGAGGACCAGTAAAGGAGATCCTTCCTCTCTGTCTTGCTCCTTTTATCAGGAGCCTTTAACTCCTCTCTGATGGGCTTCAAATGTTACAAATTCAGCTTTATTTTCTACTCCTGGTAATTAATGTGTGGGCAATATTTTATTGGTCGATAGAATTTTTATTTTTTTTTACTACTGTCTTAGCTGCGCTCCCCCGGGCTTCTTGTTGCCTCAGTGAAACCATGGTCATAAAAAATACTTTGAAAAAAATGTGATTTCTATAAAATGTGAATTAAAACCTAGCAACTTATTTGTCGAGAGACGGGGTCTAAATATTTCTTTCAGAAAAAAAAAAAAAAAACCAACCCTCAGGTTTCTGTTATGAGATGTTTCTGTGTTCTTTGACACCTGTAGTAAATAAATAGCCTTTTCTTTTTCTTTACTTTTATCGAATTCAGGTAAAACACGGGTTTATACAAAAAGAAGTTTTTAGTACTACTGATTTCTATAAATTTAATCTGGCTGACATGACACTGGGCATTGATTTGTTTTTCATTTTAATTTTTTTTTTTGAGATGTCCACACTTGAGAAGGACATCACCTGTGAGCCTGTCCGTGATTTAGAAATTTAGCAAGTTAGTTTAAAGTGAAGATTAAAAAAGAAATAAATAAAAAATGCTTGACACTGTTATAGACACTATTGTCAAAAATAGGAAAAAGGAAATAAAATCGTGGCTCTAAAATGGTGATTTGAATAACTAATTAGAGAGCTTTAAAAATAACTACAGTTAAAGGAACAGTAGCCAAACATACTGTAGCTAGAAGTCGATCATTTAACAGGTAAACAAACAAAGCTCAGCATGAGCTGTAGCTACGTAGAAATATAACTACCCTCAAAAATAAAGCCAATAAATAGAAGAGGAAAGAGAAAAAAAAAATTTTTTTTCAAACTTAATATTTCTTGAAAAATTGATCATGCTGTGCATGTTTTCCCTTCTCTCCAGATCTGTAATGTAAACTTTTTTCATATGGAAACAAACTTTAGTTTTGCGTAAACGTTGAATCTGGAACAACCAAAGCTTAATATTATAAACACATGAGAAATTAAATTTGAAATAAAACACACATCAGTGGTATTTGTCTCTTTATCTGTAGCCTTTCAAGTTCTTATTTTAATAAAATCTATTTTTCACAGACCAACAACAAAAAAAAAATCTATTTTTCACAGACCAACAACGAAACAAAAACCCAAATGTATGTGCTATAACATACACAGCTAATACTGCAAATCCTGCCAGTTTATAAGGGCTATATACTAGCAGGCCAACTCTAATACACATTTGATATGATCTCGTGGGCCAAAGATAATTAAATCGCGGTCCAGATATGGCCCCCGGGCCTTAGTTTGACACGTGTGCTTTAGACCAAAGATCAACAACTATGTCAGTCGAAGAGCCAGCAATTTTCTAAACAGACACCTTGGGGGACAGACTCTCAAATAAAATAAAATATAAATCAAATTTGTCTTTGTTTCGACGATTCGGTGGGCCGGATTTAGCCCACGGGCCGCGAGTTATTCATCACCGCTTTAGACACTGTGAACACTGAGACCAATTATCGCCACACCTCACTATTCGAGCGTGTGTGTGTGTGTGTGAGAACTGAGCTATTACGCTTTGATTATGCAGAGATTAATTTCTCTATTTAGCTGGAGAGCATTGATATTTTGTCCATTGACATCCATCACCGCTCTACACAACCATGTCATAATTCCCTCGGCGTTATTAACAGCCGGTGATCAAAAAGTCTGCAGGCAGCACCTAATCAATCAGCCAAAGTGCCGCAGCAGCAGCAGGGAGAGAGAAAGGGAAGAGAAGGTGATCATGAAAGATCAGGATTTATGTGGTGACTGCATTGCAGTGTCACTTCTGAGCTCGTCTCGTCAGGGCTTTTATTGAGTGACGCGGCTGCTCACTGCACACCGTGGGTCTGTGTGTTTCTGTGTGTGTGTGTGTGAGAGAGAGAACACCTGAGACACGAACAAGCACAGTAATCTCCTAAAACTGACTGTCAACATTTGTGTCTGATTCATGTCCACAGCATAGTCCTTTCTTCGCTGAGCAGCTGACGGCCTTTCAGGTTTGGCTGACGATGGGCGTGGAGAACAGGAACCCCCCCGAGCAGCTTCCTATTGTACTGCAGGTAAATGAGAAACATCATCAGGCTCTCAATGAGTTGGGTTTTTTTTGTTTGTTTTGTTTCAAAGATGCAGTTTGTGTCTTTTTTCGTTATTCTGCACATGAAAGCAATTACAATTAAATTAGCAACTAATGTGTTCAGTTTCAGATATTTTCAACAATGAAATGCCGCAGCACAGGTCAACCCTGTTATAATATAAAAAAAACAGTGAACAAAGAAGAGAATTTGTTCCTGCTTCCCAAACTTTTTCTGCCGTGGCACTCGTTAGCAAAAAAACAAAACAAAAACAAAGCATAAAAAAAACCATAGCACCAAACAAAATATGTTTATATAATGAAATAAATGGTTTTAATTTACTTACAATATACCAAAATCTCAGCCTGTTTAGTTAAAGACCAAGCTCATATACTCGCAGGAATTGAAGAAAGACAAGGTTTTTCTTAAACAGCTCTGATTCTCTTTCTTTTAGTTTTCATTACCCTCTGCTGCCACCTAGCAGTAGAGCATTTATTGTTCTGGTTGGCCTAGTTATCAGCCAAAGCCAATACAAACAGTGCTATGAAGTACCACTGGCCAACACACACTAGATCAGGGGTCTGACATTGTTGTTTGATGTTTATTTTGGAACCCAGTCACGGGCCTGATTGGACAGTTCGGTGGCTAGCTTTTTACCCAGCAGGCCGCCAGTTGATGATCACTGCACTAGGTGTTGTGTTTTGTGAACACTTCACAGAGACATTCAACTTTCCCGAGCCCCTTAACTTAACATAGCATATATAACACAAATATATGCTTCATATTGAACCTTATCCTTACTCTGATCTGGTATATATTCAGTAGTAAATTCACCAATTCAATATAAACCTAATGTCCTGAGAACACACAAACACAGCGTCCACTCAATAAGGAAATCAGAGAAACACCGGGCGTGCCGGTGCCAGAGCCTCCTCTGATTTCTCCTTCCTAAACAGCTCACATAGTAACTCTGACACAATATCCCTGTCTATAAAGACAATGAGGGGTCTTTCATTTCCACTCACTGCTGCGTCGGACGCCGCGGCAGTTTACGCTGTTTAAACTGAAGGATCGTTTTAATAGAGCCGCCGTGGAGCCGCGGCGTCACGCAGACCCGTGTTTGAATAACAAAAAGCCTATTTTTTCATTTGATTAGTGAGGACGAGAATTTTCTTAGCCATGCACGGGCAAACTTTTGATTAAACACACAGATCACCTGAAGAGCGCCCCCCTTCCCCCTCCCCGGCATTAGCGCAGAATATTATTACAGTAATACTTTTAACGCCTCGGCCTCTCACTGCTCCTCTTCTCCATTCACTTTCTTAATCTTCATTTTCCCCCCTCCGTCCCCTGGGCCTGACTTAGTCAACGCCAGTCAAATTTAAGAGTGACTCTTACAAAAGTCCCGGGCCAATTTTTCTACGCCAAAACGCTGAGACAAGAATGGCGCCTCGCGTGTTCCTTAAGAGGGCGTTAAATCTGTTTTCAGACACCTTAATTGGGCTGACATGTTGCCAGAAACACCTCCCAGTGTGTCGGTGTCAGAGCAGGTGAGTTACAGCAGATGGCACTTTCTTCCCCCTTCCTGGGGTCGGGGAGTGTACAGTCGCGGTGTTGTGTTATATCACAGCGTAGTAGCCGAGCGCCGCCGTCCGTGCCGAATGCTAATTTCATGCTGACTCAGCTCCCCCGCGGCCGCAGACCAGCAGTTCTGTCGGGGCCGTTAAAAGCCCAGGGAAAGGCAGACAGATCGGTGTGTGTGTGTGTGTGTGTGCATGCATGTATGTATTGAGATGGAGAATACAGCAGCAGCAGCTCTTAAGATGACATGATATTATGCAGCCTTTACTGCATAATGGGAAAACTAATGGCCATATTGTTGCTTTATTTTTTATTATTTTGCACAAAATCCTGTTTTTGTTTCTAAATGTGTGATTGATGCAATTAATACAATTGAAAATGACTGGGTCATTTGGTAAAAAAAAACCGAAACTCTCAGATTGTAAAGACATGTAATTCATCTGCTACATGCTCAGAAATACTAAATATATATATATACTAAAATATAGGACTAACCAAATAAATATTTTATATTTTCTTTGGCACATTATTAAAAGGCCCTTAACCTTTTAATAGTGATACAAATTTTCAAAAACGTGTTTAAAAAGTAAATGTTTAAAAAAGAAAATAGTAAAACAAATTAATCATTGTAACAAAAAAAAGTTAATATATATAAAAATTAAAAAAAAAAGATCTTCTTTTCTCATAAGAAGAAATGGTTTTTAAATTGGTTTTAAATTTTTTTTTACAATTTTTGAAAATTCAAAAACATTTAAAGTTATAAAAACTGAATTATATCTGTAATGTGTATTTTCTAAATAAATATACAAATATTTAGCATTAAAAATGAATAAAAAATAACTTTTATGGAAATGTTTTTATGAAATGTTAAGTAAGGTAAAACAGTGTATGTAATGTTTTCTGCTTTTTTTTTTTTTTTCCACACACAGGTTAATGTTTTCTGCTTTTTTTTTTTTTTTTTTGATTTAGAGACGGTGTCCAGAGTCGGTCTTCCCCGACCTCATGTTCATCTGCTCACTCACCAGGTTTTAGGACACGGTGGATGATAATAATATCTTTGTGCTTGCTTGTTTGTGTGTGTGTTTACAGCCCTGGTTTCCTCCATATAGGATGATAATAATATCTTTGTGCTTGTTTGTTTGTGTGTGTTTGTGTGTGTGTTTGTGAGAGTGTTTACAGCCCTGGTTTCCTCCATATGTCAGCTCCCACACACACTGTGGGACAGTCAGATGAGAACAGTGTCCTGCTCTCATACACACTAACTGCTGCAGTGTGTGTGTCTGTGTGCGTTTCCTGTAGCATAAATTACACACACACGTACATTTATAGCCTCGATTCACCTGCTTCCTTTAAATAGTCTTTGGCTTAAACGTCCAACGTCGTGATTCTCTCTAGAACCATTGCCATAAACACCGACACGAGCTCACACTCTCAAAGTTTCTTCTTCTAAAACCAAGAGACGTGTCTGCCAAGTGGACGCGCCCGGTCCGACCCCGCGCAGATGCCCACGCATCAGTGCGCCAACCAGTAAACAAGTCCGCCCCAGGTTGGCGGGGGTGGTTGGTAGAGCCACCTGTCTCACCTCCCTCACCTCCTCACCCTCTCCCTGCTCTTCTTCCTGCTTCTCCATTTAAACCGAGACTTTCGTTTCTTTCCTTCGCAGCACCTCTGACCTCTGACCTCTGCTCTCTGCTCTCTTTCAGGTCCTCCTCAGTCAGGTTCACCGGCTCAGAGCTCTGGATCTGCTTGGACGGTTTCTGGACCTGGGACCCTGGGCTGTTAGTCTGGTGGGTTCACATCTGTGCGATTGGTTTTCAGTTAGAAAAAAATGAAAGAAAGATTTTATGAGTGGACATTCTTTCAGCTTTTAGGTAAATCTATTGACTAAAAATGTCATTTTTAGTCAATATGTTGTTATTTCAGGGGTGAGTGATACAGCAGTAAATATATATACTGCAAACAAGATATATGAAAATATATATATATACCGTATATATGTGTTTGTATATATATATAAGTATATATGTATATATAGAGAGAGAGCCTGTGAAAAGTGAATCCTAATATATATATATGTGTATATATATATGTATATATATGTGTGTATATATGTATATATGTACTGTATATATATGTGTGTACATATATACATACTGTATATTTATGTATATGTATATATGTACAGTATATATATGTATATGTATATATATGTATATGTATGTATATATATATATATATATATATATATATATATATATGTATATTATATATATATATATGTGTGTATATATATATACGAATATAGTTAAGAATATAGAAACAACTGTGGTTTGTTTGTTGACTCTGATCTGTTTCCTTTCCTGCCTCTCTACCGACACCTCTGTGACCACAGTTACAAGACCCTCGACCATTTGTTGTGTGTAAATTGTTTGTGCAGCCTGTGATTTGGTTTAAATTTGATTTTGTTTCCGTTAGCACTGGTTCTGTTTCAGCTGATGACATTGCCTTGTGTCTGTCTGCAGGCTCTGTCTGTGGGAATCTTCCCCTACGTGTTGAAGCTGCTGCAGAGTTCAGCCAGAGAACTGAGGCCAATGCTGGTTTTCATCTGGGCTAAAATCCTGGCTGTAGACAGTGTAGGTTATGTCGCACACTGATGCACGACAAAACTAATCTCATCTGCTCACCACTCACCACTTTTCATCTTCTTCAGCATCATTTCATCACATCTTTGTTACAACTTGTTACAACTGGATTGTAACTTTGTGGACTAGAACGAGCAAAATATTTAGAAATTCAGATTCAAATGAACTGAAAATGAGCTCTCTCACTCACTCTCTCTCTCTCTCTCTCTCCTCGTCTCTGAAGTCATGTCAAGCTGACCTGGTCAAAGACAATGGACACAAGTACTTCTTGTCGGTTTTGGCTGACAGCTACATGCCAGTAAGTGTAAACCAAACGTATCACCATGTAATTGACACGTCAGTGACACATATTTCAATTAATTCATTTTTTATCAATTTGAACTCGAATGATTATAATCAATACTCAATAAGCAGTAAAATCTGAAATCCATAAGAATTACCCAGAACTACCTCAAAGACTTAAAAAACGTAGCAACATATTTTAAATGAAGTTAAAAAAAACAGCTTAAAGTTCAGTTTTTCCACTAAACAGGATTGTACTTTACTAGATTCCTATCACAAATAGGAATTAAACGGCTGAGTTTCTAATGAGAACTTCCTCCATAATTTGAACTCGAATGATTATGATCAATACTCAATAAGCAGTTAAATCTGTAAAAAAATTAAAAAGCGTTTACCATATCAAAGTCTTAAAAAACTTGGCAAAATATTTCAAATGAAGTTAAAAAAGTTCAGTTTTTCCACTAAACAGGATTGTACTTTACTAGATTCCTATCACAAATAGGAATTAAACGGCTGAGCTTCTAATGAGAAGTTCCTCCATTGGTGGATCAGGACTACCTCCAGTCTACTTCTCTGAACCATATGTACTGGGATATGTGCGTAATATTTACACGTGATTCCCGTTTCCTTCTGTGTTCCAGGCAGAACACCGAACGATGGCCGTCTTCATATTAGCTGTTATTGTCAACAGCTACACCACAGGACAGGTACAGACATCGCCGTCTTCCTTTTTTCTCTGTCGGCTCTTTTGTTGTTCAAGCCTATCGTCAACACTCAGAGGAACAATGTACCAAATTATTCAATTACTCTCCTCAGCAGAACCACAGCAGCTTCTCTCGGGCCTCCGCCGTCACTTTGAGCGATGACTCCATCGCCTGTCGAGTGTTTCTGGGAGATATTGGTTATGTGACATTTTTGTCATCGACACTTGGCGCTGTAATCTCAGACTCCTACACAGCCACCTGCACGGTGACACTTTATCACCACAACTGTCACTCTGTTCGGCTCGTGGTCTCGGCAGCGTTCAGTCCCCGAAGCCTCTTGTGTCTGACACTGATCAAACAAGCAAAGGTTTCGAAGCGCGCTTTTCGATGGAGCTTGTCATTTTGTGGACGTTCACGCAAACACCGAGCCGTTTGTATACAGTAATTTAGCAGGAAAATGCTGACTTTATAATTAGTGAGAGAAAATAATTGCTCAAAAAATGGCGACATGAAAGATAAGCTAGGCCAGGGGTCATCATACCTGGGGGTCAGACACTCAAACAAAATGGAAAAAAAAATTTTAAAAAACACATTTTTGTTTAACATTATTATTTGTATATTTTGGAACCAGGACACAGGCCGGATTGGACGGCTCAAAGGGCCAGATTTGGCCCATGGGCCGTCAGTTGGTTATCACCGAACTATAGATATAGCGAAAAATATATATGGAAAATAATCGAATAAATTGTCAAAAGGTCATAAATTTAACACACCAATAGTTCAAATTACTGAAAAATGTAGAAAAAAATATTATAAATTAAGGATATTACTTTTCCAGTGATAGTCACAAATTAGGACAAAATATGTCCTGATTGTACTTTACTAGATTCCTATCACAAATAGGAATTAAACGGCTGAGTTTCTAATGAGAACTTCCTCCATTGGTGGATCAGGACTACCTCCAGTCTACTTCTCTGAACCATATGTACTGGGGTATGTGCGTAATATTTACACGTGATTCCCGTTTCCTTCTGTGTTCCAGGCAGAACACCGAACGATGGCCGTCTTCATATTAGCTGTTATTGTCAACAGCTACACCACAGGACAGGTACAGACATCGCCGTCTTCCTTTTTTCTCTGTCGGCTCTTTTGTTGTTCAAGCCTATCGTCAACACTCAGAGGAACAATGTACCAAATTATTCAATTACTCTCCTCAGCAGAACCACAGCAGCTTCTCTCGGGCCTCCGCCGTCACTTTGAGCGATGACTCCATCGCCTGTCGAGTGTTTCTGGGAGATATTGGTTATGTGACATTTTTGTCATCGACACTTGGCGCTGTAATCTCAGACTCCTACACAGCCACCTGCACGGTGACACTTTATCACCACAACTGTCACTCTGTTCGGCTCGTGGTCTCGGCAGCGTTCAGTCCCCGAAGCCTCTTGTGTCTGACACTGATCAAACAAGCAAAGGTTTCGAAGCGCGCTTTTCGATGGAGCTTGTCATTTTGTGGACGTTCACGCAAACACCGAGCCGTTTGTATACAGTAATTTAGCAGGAAAATGCTGACTTTATAATTAGTGAGAGAAAATAATTGCTCAAAAAATGGCGACATGAAAGATAAGCTAGGCCAGGGGTCATCATACCTGGGGGTCAGACACTCAAACAAAATGGAAAAAAAAAAATTTAAAAAACACATTTTTGTTTAATATTATTATTTGTATATTTTGGAACCAGGACACAGGCCGGATTGGACGGCTCAAAGGGCCAGATTTGGCCCATGGGCCGTCAGTTGGTTATCACCGAACTATAGATATAGCGAAAAATATATATGGAAAATAATCGAATAAATTGTCAAAAGGTCATAAATTTAACACACCAATAGTTCAAATTACCGAAAAATGTAGAAACAAATATTATAAAGTAAGGATATTACTTTTCCAGTGACAAAATTAGGACAAAATATGTCCTGGTAATAGCCAAAAATAAAGCCAAATTAGTTGAAAAATGTAGAAAAAAATATTATAAATTAAGGATATTACTTTTCCAGTGATAGTCACAAATTAGGACAAAATATGTCCTGATAATAGCCAAAAATAAAGCCAAATTAGTTTGCCTTTATGCCTGAGATGTGTTTAAATTAGACGTGAATTTGTCGACGACTTAGTAAAATCAGTGGCAAAATAGGCCTGCCATGTAAACGAATCTAAATGATGTGCCAAATTACCTTAAATAATCAAACAAAACCCAAGTCAAAGTTAACTTGAAGGTAGATTTAAAACAGAGCTGAAAAGGCAACTGCGCAGCATCAAAAGATGAATTGCGGAGAATTAGCCCATAAATAGCTAAAAGAGTCATAAAAAAAATGGACTCAGCCGTCCTGGAAGAGCTCCTCCACGCTCCTGACACGCATCACTTTTGACCAACTCTGTCGTGGAGACGGATTTTTCTGCTCTCTATTCCCGTCATTTTTCCACCCACCTGTACGTGTATTTCATCCTCCTGTTCCTCCTCAAAGTTCTCCTCTGACATGACATCATCTAATTTTAACAGCACAGACAGCTACACTATATATATGTGTGTGTGTGTGTGTGTGCGCGCTCCAGAGCTCAGAAAGGCACGATTCCTTTACCGCGCCACTGTGTACTTAGTGTTTGTGCTTCCCTCACAGGTCTGTAAATAATAGATGACAGTCAACCATACATAAAGGAAGAGAGGGCGAGAGAGAGAGAGAGAGAGAGAGAGAGAGAGAGTGGGCTCACTCCACATCTCTATTATTTATCCCTCTTACTCTCAACAACAGCCCTCATTACTGCTCTATCCTTATTGCCGACGTGTCACATCTTGTGTTCCGGCTCCGAGTTCAGAAGCGAACGGAGGGTAAAGCTCAACAGTGATCTGAGGAACGTGGCGGGAATAATGAGTAAAAGGAATAAAAGAAGGGTAGAAATAATGTGTGCCTGTTGACGGGAGATTTGTCGGTGTTTCACCTGTGTCTGCGGGAGACGAGAGAAAAGAAAACTGCGTTGACTGAAGTTAAAGCTGCTGTTCCGCGGTTCACCCGCAGTAGAACCGTAGGTTCTGAATGAGGCTGGTGTAGGTGTTATTAAAAGAATAAGTCACTGTGCTGCAGAGCTTCATCATCATCACACCGCGTGAGGTCACGGGTTAGTGATGATTAACCGCCCGAAATTCCCAGGGCTCAGGAGTCTGCTGTTCTTCTATTAAATATTAAAAACGTACCAGCTGATCATCGATGATCCTTGTTCGCCCGGCTGTACTGTTCTCGTCTGATGTGTTTGTGCAAAAAACAAGGATGCTGATGTTGATTTTTGCTCCTCTCCTTCTTCTTTCTACTCCTGATTTCTCCCTCCTTGTCTCTCGTCCAGGAGGCCTGTCTGCAGGGGAACCTCATAGCCAACTGTCTGGAGCAGCTGTCTGACCCACATCCTCTGCTGCGCCAGTGGGTGGCCATATGTCTGGGCCGCATCTGGCAGAACTTTGAACCGGCGCGTTGGTGCGGCGTCCGAGACAGTGCCCACGAGAAGCTCTACACCCTGTTGTCGGATCCTATTCCTGAGGTGAGAGGTCACTGCCTGTACTCAGATATGACATGTTGGCAGAGGAGGAAAAAAGTCAAAGGTTTAAGACATTTTCAAAGTACAGTAATACCTTGAGATAGGAGCGTCCCGACTTACGAGATTTCCGAGATACGAGCAAACCTTCGAGCACTCGGAGCAGCCCACGCTGCCTCACTCGTTCACTTCACGTGTTCGTCGACTTCCGTACGCGTCTCCCGCGAGTCTTCCGTATTGTGTTTGCGTTATCTACGTGATTTTCTCTCTCATTATTCTTCGTAATAGTGATGAGTCCTAAGAGAGTGAGTGGTAAGGATGGTAGTCAGAAGAAGAAGAAACGCATGATGACCACGGAAATAAAGCATTAAATTGTCCATAAATATGAGCGTGGTGCCCAAATGAGAAAGAACACAAATCGAAAAAAGCAAAAAAATAAAACATAGAAAAGTTAAAACTGTCCTGGAAAAAAGTAGCATTGAACCATGGTCAGTCAAGTTCATAACTTTATGTTTCTATGCTAATTTAGCTGCTATATTAATTAAAATAAAACCATACATTTTTATATTTTGTATTATATATTTTGGATTGATTGGATCTAAAGAAGAAGAAGAAGAAGAACCACTCAGGAGCCTTTTAAGTAAGGAACACATTGAACCAGTGTGACATTTCTCACCATGGATTTCACACCAGGAGGCCACGTCAGAACACCAGAGCAGCTGCGGACCCAACACCCAGAACCCTCCGGTCAGATAACAACCCGCAGTAGCCACGAAGACACAGCTGCGCTGCTAAAAGAGCCAGTTTAGGGCAGACACACACAAACACACACACACACAAACATTGAGCAGTTGGCTGATTTCAGAACAGTGAACATCTGACTGGGTCGTGTCCAGACCACAGAGACCAGGAAATGGAGGTTTGCCCTGAAATTCACCCAGATGTAGAATCACATATGCAGACACACACACACACACACTTTTTCAGCCGCAATTACTGTACATGTACTTCACAGTGGACGTCCGCCCCCTGGGCCACTTCAGGTCACCGCAGAGTGATTGTTATTGACTGAACTGACTGGTTAGGAAGAAAGGCACATTTACGTGTAAACGGTACTGGTTGACTGGTTAGCAAAACCTCAGCTTCTGGAGTGTGTGTAGGAAAGGTACTCACAGAATTGCGGAGAAGGCTCACAGACTTGCGGAGAAGAGCAGTGGTGACAGCGATGAGTCGTCAAGGAGCGGCTGAGATCAGCGACTAAGTAGAGTTGATTGTGTTCAGGAGAAGCGAACCAAACAGACCGTTAAGTCACAGCTGCGCACATCACACGACACTGTCTCAGGTCTTTGTCTCCAGTCCGGGTGACGACACCGTTTCTGTCTGATCTTAGATGGAAGTGCAGAAAGAAGGTGTTCCTTCATTAATCCCTGACTCATCGGTACCTGGGCGCAGTATTTGATGTCCTCGTACAGTCACTGCAGCCGGCGGCAGATACATCTTTTACACAGATGAAATTTTTTTTTTTACAATTTACATGTATAATAGACACGCTTCGGTGTTTAACTACCTTCGGATTTATCGCAGTATGTTTAAAAGAGCGTAAAAATGCGCAGGAGAAGACGGACGAACGGTGCGTTTCGGTTCCGCGTGTCGTAAACTGTCGAGTCGGGGAATAAATAAACTTTATGTTTTTGCTTTTATTGCAGGATTTGGAAGGAGGGGGGAAAAAAAAAAAACCAAAACAATACGTTGATGTGAAATGTTTGTGCGGCTAATTAATCAAAGCGGAGCGGCTGTGTGCTCTAACGCCACCAGAATTGCTCCTGTTAACTAAGTGGGAAACATCCAGGTCTGTCAGAATGACAGATGCGCAGTCTTTTCTTTTTTTTTGTTTTTTTTTTTCATAAGAACGTTTCTCTCTGTGTCTCTGCAGGTGAGGTGTGCAGCCGTCTTTGCTTTAGGGACGTTTGTTGGAAACTCTGCTGAGAGAACAGACCACTCCACCACCATCGACCACAATGTGGCCATGATGCTGGCCCAGCTCATCAATGATGGCAGCCCTGTGGTCCGCAAGGTCAGTACGAACAACACACAACCACACAACCACAAACTGGGTTTGTGACCGACCAAGAAGTTCACAAACTTTTTTTTCTCTTTACTCTGATAAAATAGAGTTTCTATAAAACTTTTTATTCTCAAAAAATAAATGAAATAATAGTACATTCCCAACACCTTACGGGACAAATCTTTGACACCTCGCAGTTGGTCCGCAACCCCCATTTTGAGAACCACTAACCTTACCGTGGCAGATATATGACTAAGCTGTATCCGTTTCCTCACTCTAATCCTATATCCTATATAATAATAATATATAATATAATAACTAATACTGTATGAGTTGCTGCCACCTAGTGACTGGAGGCATGTTATTATTCAAGCATTACAGCAGTGGTACACTTATGTCCAGTGTGCCATATTCCATTGGAAGCCCCTCAAACCCCGCCCTGGCACCTCACCGCGCCCCCCTACGGGTCCCCGCCCCACTGTTTGAGAAGTACTAATACTGTATGAGTTGCTGCCACCTAGTGACTGGAGGCATGTTATTATTCAAGCATTACAGCAGTGGTACACTTATGTCCAGTGTGCCATATTCCATTGGAAGCCCCTCAAACCCCGCCCTGGCACCTCACCGCGCCCCCCTACGGGTCCCCGCCCCACTGTTTGAGAAGTAATAATAAATAAATAATCTATATTTATAAACTATATCTCGAGCCTCAAAATATCTTACGATCCCACGATAAGATTTTCCCCTTATAAAAACATCCCTGTGAGTGTAGCGACAACACGACGACACACAAAATAATGAAAAAAACTAAAGTACGCTCCATTCCATCATCACATGAATTTGACTCACTTCACTGACTTCACGTCTTTCCCCCCTTCCCTGGTGTGTAACAGGAGCTGGTGGTAGCACTGAGTCACCTGGTGGTCCAGTATGAAAGCAACTTCTGCACGGTTGCCCTGCAGTTCATAGAGGAGGAGAAGAACTACTCTGTGCCATCACCAGCAAACACTGCAGGTACGATGAAGGCCACCGTAGAGATCGCCATGTGTCGGCTGTCGTGTCTGTGAAGGTTTTGGATTTGTTCACGCTGAAGTGTGTCCTTGCCTTTCATTTACCGTCCAGAACCTGGCAACCTGACACCAGTGAGGGACAGTCCGGCCATCCCGCGCCTGCGCTCAGTCAACTCCTACACCAACATCCGAACGGCAACGACGGCCCGCAACATGAACAAGAGCCTGCAGAACCTCAACCTCAATGAAGAAGGTAAAACTGTCGGAGCACAAGGACAGCCTCAGTTGCCATGGTGACAGCACTTTTAGTCAATAACCTTTTTTTTTTTTTTTTTGTAATTTCGTTTTCCCACTACATGAATTTGAGCTGTGGCTTTAAATACTCGTTCACAGAAACAGCGGTTTAAATGTTGTTTTTCACACTCAAGCATCAGCAGAAACACTGACAAACCCACGAGATTTAATTAGTCAATGTAAAATTGGATCCCTAATAACTTGATGAGGGAAATGGACTGTTAGACTACCGGAGCTGTCCGTGGTGCTGAACTCTTAATGCTCTTGATGTATGAATATCCTGGTGTAGTTCAGCGGATCCTGTAGGTCCAGATGATGTCCTTCATAAGAAGTTGATCGTTTGGTTTTAGCCCCTGCTACTCTACACACCACTGCGTCTTCAAGCCAGGCACTAAATCCCAAGTAAACAGTGTGTGAACAGGGGGTTTATGACTAAAAAAAAAAGACAAGTTCTAATGAATGTCTGGCTCCGAAATGAAACCGACTCGGAATGTGAATTGTGCCGCAGCTGCACTGGGTCGGGTCTACGCACCGTGTGGAGCTCAATCACTGACACTTGGTGGAGCGCATCACCTACTGTTGACACCAGCTCTAATTCACATTCTGTCTGCCTGTTCCATTCAGCAGCTGTGTTCATCACCAATGAGTGCGCAGCACATATTCATTCTTTCCCCATTTCCATTTCCACATTTCAGCCTGTAATCAGTCAGTCAGTCAGTCAGTTTGTTGAATGCATGTGTCCTCGGCCCAGTATGAGTCAGAGCAATGTTTGCTGTCTGAGAAGGTTTGAAATGTAGTTATGAACCGGTTCCTGTGTTGGATAAGAACAAGTACATTCACACATCTCACATTTTATTTGCTTTGAATGAGATTCTTTTTTTTTTTTTCACAATATTACCAAACATGAATGTTTCTTCCAGACCTTGATTCTTGCAGACAATACAGGGGATATGAGTGATTGAAAATAATAATAATAATAATAACAACAACAATAATAATAATATTATTATATTTATTATTATTGTTGTTGTTGTTGTTATTATTAAATGTGTTTCCTAAATGAACAGTTACCAAATATAATAGCTTTTTTTTAGGTCTGAAGATATATAATAGCACAACAACATTATTTATTTTCATCATTTTTTGCTGCTGGTCCATTATTTAAAAATGATTACTTCTATAGGTTAAGTTAGATGATACATTTTAGAAATTAAATTTTAGAAATGAAAAGTCATACATTTTATCCAAATGCTAAAATATAAATAAATATAATATAATACAATATAAAAAATAACTAGTACCTTTTGGACCATGGACCATTCCTGGAACTTTTATTTTTATTTTTACTTTTATTCCATGTCCTTCTTTCATTGACTTTGTGATGTGTACATTTATTTTCGTTTATATTTGTGCGTCATTAAGGTGCCCCCACGGCCTTCTCACCTGGTAACCTGAGCAACAGCAGCAGTGCCAGCAGCACCTTGGGGAGTCCTGACAACGACGAGTACATACTCTCCTTCGAAACCATCGACAAGATGCGACGAGTGTCGTCATACTCCTCCCTCAACTCCCTCATTGGTAAGAGCCGCACGGTCAAACTGAGGCATTCGTTAAATCTGTGTTTTCCCATGTTTTTATTGTGTCACAGTACATACTTGACATTAGAAAAATCACGTAGCTCACCACCAAACGAATGTCACAAAAAAGCAAATCTAATGAAATATAATGATCTCCTGCTTTCAATTTACTGATGATTGACTTGATGCTTATATACTTGCACAAGTCTTTAATATTTTAGATTTTCTAGCCATCTGTTGTCATCAAGTGGGTGAGTATTTAAATGTGCTTAATTGCCACTAATACATAGGTGAACTAAGACAAACTGTTTAAAGGGAAAAAAAAAATTTTCTCAAAACAAAATCTGACAATTTTCAACATGATGATTCCTCACGGCAGAGGAAAAACTTCAAAAATGATCGTGGAAAATACTATAATTTCCTACCCTAAAGATGACCTTAAAGAATCTCCATGTAATACAGTTGGCCTGTTTACACATGGAGACATCTCACCTTACATAGAACTCACCCGTCATGGCTGGTATCAGAGAGACATGCCTCAGGACACTGGAGGTGAGAAGGGCTTGAAACCCTTCAAACGTCAGCAGGGACAGGAAGAAAGGTCCAAGAATAGAAGAAGTGTGAAGACAGTTTGTCTCTGTGTAAAAAAAAAAACAGTGGAGGAGGCAGGATGAAGTGCATTTTCTGCTCCCTTGTCTAAGCTTATGTCACACTTAATCATTTTCCCACTGGTGTATGGTGATTGGCAGCTGCTTCATGAGTCCTGACAGGCGAGGTGTTAAGGTCAGAGAAAGAAAACGTCGATTTACCTTACCAGAGGTGAAAATGAAGAGGAGTCTGAGTTTTCCTCCGTTTTTCTATTTTCAGTTTTATTTACTTCAAGATGAAATGGCGGAAGAGTGGTTGGTGTTCATGCCTTACAGCTACAATAGCAGTGGTTCAAACCCCAGCTGTAACTGATAGTCTTCTGTATGGAGTTTGCTTGTTCTTCTCATGTTCGTGGGATGGAAGTACAGTGGAAACCTCAAGATACGAGCATAAGCTCTTAACTCGAGGTGCTTATATCTCAAATCATTTTTTTACCATAAGTAATAACAGAAAAAAACATTCTGGGCCTTCTAAAAAAAACGTCCTTATTACTGGAATGAATTATACTTTTTTCTTTCAATATTTTGACTAGTCCTGCACCTTATATTCCAACTTATACATCACAAATATACACAATACCATTTATGACCACTAGAGGGCACTTTTTACACAACTTAACCTTGCCACTGCACCGAATACGCCATAAAGACTTCCTTCAAGAATACGAATAAAATGGAACAGCAAAGGGAAGGAGAGAAAAAAAATGACGTCAGAAATTAAACTGCAGATTATAAGGTATGCAGCCAAGTACATCAATCGAGCAGCAGCAAAAAAAGTAGCGAGGCTAACTGCAACCGGTGCTGATGGTGAGTCTTACGACTTAGCTTAGCACAGAAGGAGAGGGCGATTTCTCTCCCTCTGACGTTGGTGGAACGACACTGAGGATGAATGGAATTGGTGACGTGGATCAAGATCAGGAGTTGGTTTAACTTGTTAGCTTGTTATACGTATATTGATATACATACTGTTTGTTCACTATAGGGTATATGAGACTAATATTTTAGGGCACCTTTTAGTCTGAAATAATCAAATAAATTAAGAACAAGTCACATTTCAAATGTTGGGGAAAACAGTAGTTCAGCCGCTGTAATGAAACGTGCGTTGATGCTTTAATAGATGCCACCACTGTTCAGGTGTTTCTGACTCATTTCACTCAGCTTCGATTTCTGTCCCCTGAGAAAAGAACCTAATTTTCTCAGCTTGACACTCACTGCTGCGTAAATATCAATGGATTCGGAGCCACGCACGCGTTTCACTTCTTAACTGCAGACGTTTCCCCATCTCTTCCACATATTTTCCGTACTTTTCCGTACTGATCAGCCTGTCTCCATTTCAGTTGCAGTTACTCGAACTCTGACTTAACGACGCTTCGCAGTCCCCAAGTAAACAGGTCAAAATGCGTACCAGCTACTTAACCGCATCTGCCTCTGAATTTGCTGAAAGCCTTGCGGCCTTCTTCACTCCGGTTGATAACTCCCACGCAGCACCAGGCTGCATGTATAAACAATCAGGACGGAGCTCATGAATGGCAGCATCCGCGTGAAGACGAATGGTTCAGGAGCACAAAGAAGAGCACGAGCTCATACATAAGAAATAAACGAGGCGCTCGGATCCCAAAACAAACTTGAAATACCAAACTATGAGGCTTAAACCAGAGACGGGGGTTCTAATATCTCATATATGTCGCTTACAACCATGGTCCTGCGGTCTCACAAAAAGTACATGTAGTGAAATACGGTGATCTTTTAGTTTCAGTTTACTAACTCAGTGTGAAATCTCGATGATCTTTTGGTTTCAGTTTACTCACAGTTTACTAACTCAGTGTGAAATCTCGACCTGTTTAGTTGAAGACAACGTTGTTAAAGTGCAGGAATTGAAGAAAGACGAGCAAAAATCTTTTTTTCAAGATTCTGTTAGACCACGGCCCTGTTAGACTAGTACTTCTCAAATAGTGGGGTGGGGTGTGAGCGGCTTCCACTGCTGTAATGTTTGAATGATACCAAGCCTCCAGTCACTAGGTGGCAGCAACTCATACAGTGGTTTGTACAGATAAAACTATACATGTTATCAGGTTCTCCATAGTTTTTCAATTCCGAGGGACAGATTGACATACCCTCCCCCGGGGACATTTCTGACCCCTGGTGGGGGGGGGCATGACAGGACCATGGTCCTGTTAGATAGTGTAAATCTGCCTTCGCCCAGTGATTGCTGGGATTGTCTTAAACCCCAGGCCTTGAAAAAGGCGTAGGCTGTTGAAGATGAATGACGTATGTATGTATGATGGATCACAGTTGACTGGTCTGTTTCTGATACTGACTCTGACGTCCACTTTGAAATCCATCTGATATTGGAGTGTTCTTAGCATCATCATTTCGTTTTTTACCTCAAAGCTGAGTTTGTTTTAGATCCCCTGTGTTGACACTTGTCAGACCGACTTGTTTTTATTTTTCGAGTTTTTTCGAGTTCAGTCGTAGCAGAGTAGATGTTGAGAGCTGAAAATGACCTGCTGTGTATTTAGTGAACCACTTTTAGACAAATTGAAACTATAAATCCTAACCATAGCAGCCACTGGACTCTGGCCTGCAGGAAACCAGCAGCTACTCCAGGGTCAGAGGTGTACACATGATTTATTTGTTAACATTTTTCTTTAAAAAAAAATCTGTTTCTCTTCCCCTTGTCTTCCCTTGTTAAACATTATTAGAACAAATTCTACTGCGCCGAGTTATATAATACGTATGACATATTTGTTCCGAGATGAAAAATCATGTCCTGACGGAGAGATTCATCACAAAGGAGTTGCATCGTGATTAACTGTAACAGTTTTTTTTTTTTACAATTTTTGTGCTAATTTCAAATAGAGTATGTTGGACTAGTTTCAGCTCATTTTTGGTTGTTTTTTTTTTTTTCAGACAAATTTGAGCTAACGCTAAAGGCTAAAGTTTCTCCCTCTAAAGTCCGGAAGGGTTTCAGGTTTGAATCCCCCAGCTGCCAAGTTACAACCGAGGTGCTCTGAGCATGGCACCGTCCCCACTCTCTGCCCCCCCTGTTCACTTTAAAGCAGAGATCACATTTGGTTGTGTGCAGTGGTGTGCTGTGTCACCATGACAAGTCGTTCACTTTCACTTCAGTGTACCTCATTAACACCTTCGGGGCGACCTTTAGGAGCCACGTCCACTTCCTTAACGACCAGGGCCTCCTTAAGGGATTAAGAAAGTGCCTTTGAAATATCAATTTTCTAGCTGGTTAAACCTGAGAGGTAACACGCTGTTGTTACGGGTGGAAGAAGAAAGATCATCTTGACTTCCATGCGTGTCAGTGTTGTGGATCCACTGTCCTGTGATGAGTTACACTTTCATGTCCTCATGAAAATTACACGTACAGGAGTTTCCTCTCCACAGTCAAAGACAGTGATTGGTTTGATTTGTTTGTTTTTTCTTTTTTCTTATGCCTCATATAAAACTCCCAAAAAATCCCTATACACTGTTAGAAGTATTTTATGACATTTTCCAAAATTGAGGAGGCCATAAAACTGTGATGCAGTGTTTCATTTAGCCAATAGTTAATACTTTTACTACTCTACATCCATTTCACTCTGCACAAGACGTGCAATGATGTCTGCGGTTCAGGCCGCGGCCAGGTTGAGTTATGTCCACTGTCGCGGGCTACTTTGAGTTGGTAAATTGTGTGCCACTGTAATGTGGTGCGACTGTTGCATAGGAGAGGGACTGTATTTCACGTTGATCAGTCGGCTGTGTGCGAGTGCACCGCCGAGCTGTCGCTAATCAAATTCTCAACCTTCAGGCTAGAACTGATCACCGTTTTTAACTCGCTCACTTTTTCCTCCCTCCGGTTTCTCTTCGCCTTCTGACTTCTGTGTGTTCTACTAAAAACCTACTAAGCTTTCGGACCCATCTTTCCCACCGTAGAACACGGCACGTCCTAAAATATCTCTCATTTTTCCAGTCTTTGGTTTTTTTTTCTTTCTTTTTTGGCTTCTTGACTTTGTCTTCTCAGAATCTCCTGGAGCTCAAGCCCTTCGTCCTTCATGAATCATCTCTTCTTTTGTTCTCTGATCTTTGAACCTTTTCACACTCCTTAAATATCCAAACTAAGCATCCTTGTTAGAGGGGTGAAGACACTTCCTAATTAGTGGCATACAGTGATCCCTTGCTATAACGCGGTTCACTTTTCACGGTTTCGCTACTTCATGGATTTGCATCGTGCATTGTGTTCTGCATTCTAATTGGCTAAAAAGTCACTCCGCTTCTTCTCTACCTGTGCGCCAATAACGTTGCGGTTTAATATGTACACGTACGTAAAACAGCTTGCCAAATTGACATTACGTACGTGCAAATTCTCTTGCAATTTCGAGTTTATCAAACCCCATAATGTCGACAAAACGCTCTGGACCGGCAAAAGTACCTGCGGTAGGGACCAAAAGGCAGCGGAAGATGCTGTCTATCGGTGATAAAGTAAAACTATTGGACATGCTAAATGAAGGTAAAAGCTATGCGGCTGTAGGTCGGCATTATGGAATTAATGAATCTTCCGTTCGTTCCATAAAGAAGGAAGAAAAAAACATAAGGAAGACAGCAGCAATAAGTTTTAATAAGGATTCAAAAAGGGTTGCAACTGCCCGCAACAAGACCAGGTAATTTGTATTTTTTTCATAATCATTTTTAATTTTCTCCCGTTCACGGTGGGCGGTGCTAATCTCCGCAATTTGAAGCCTTCTGTTCACGTTGATGATTAAAATTATTATTTGACAGTACATTACAGAAGTTATTTGTTGAAACGTTTCTAAAGTACTTTTATTTTACTTTATTTGTGAAACAAATGGTTGAGACTGTAAAATGGTTTGTTCGTTCTTTCTCTTCTTTTTCTGAGTATTTAATTGTAAAAAAAAAAAAAGATTTCAACTTCACGGATTTTGCCTATCACGGGTTCTTTTTGGAACGTAACCCCCGCGAAAAACAAGGGTTTACTGTATATGAAAGTAAGTCGAAAAGTTCTGAGACTGTTGTTATATAGTCAAAGAGTTGTCAGTGAGGAATCATCATATCACCTTCGTGTCCTTTATATTTATGATTACCTTAAATCTTATTAGGTTTTGCAACCTTCAAAAATTACTTTTTTTTTTCTTTCGTCGGGGCTGTCAAAACAATTGAATGATTTAACAAGAGGGTCAAGAGTATGAAGTATAAGTCGCACCAGCCGAAAAATGCATAATGAAAAAGAAAAAACATATATAAGCAGTTCCGGAATAAAAGTCGCACCCGCCAACTAGAGTGCCCTCTTGTGGCTGTCAGTATGAAAATAATGAACATGTAAATTTCCCGTGGTACAGGAGTAGCACATACTGCTACACAAGCCTAGAGGGCCCTCTTGTGGCTGTCATTGTGAAAATAAGGTACATTTTCAGTGGTTCAGCCTAAATGCACGATGATGATGATGATGATGATGGAGAAGAAGATGATGACGATGATCAGCAGCCAGAGTTTATCTGAGGACACTGATGTTATCCACCTGAGTCCATTTTTTACGTTTGTATTCATGATAACATTGACAGTACACAGCAGTGATGCTGCGCAGTGCCAGCTGCCGGTGGAGCACGTGTGTGTGTGTGAGTGAGTGTGTGTGTGTTTATGTTGTGATTAATGACGTACATTAAGCCAACCTTGAGGTCATTTTCACCTCAACACGTCAAACAGCTGCAGGGAGTAGAATGGAAAGGGAGGGTACCCTGATGATAATGAAGTGCGTCGCTGTTAGCGTCGCTGTTAGCGTCGCTGTGGCGATTAGCTCAAAGCGGAGTGACGAGTTACACTCGAAATGAAGGGTGTTTGTTAATGACTCCGTCAGGTGTCAAAACCACTTCATGCAAAAAGAATGTTCTGACCTTACTCGCTCCTCTGTGCGTCCCTCGCAGGTGTGTCCTTCAACAGTGTGTACACTCAGATCTGGAGAGTTCTACTGCACCTGGCTGCTGATCCGTTTCCTGAGGTGTCGGACCTGGCCATGAAGGTCCTGAACAGCATCGCATACAAGGTAAGAAGTGTTCATAAATGTACTTCAGCTTTAAAGGAATACGTATACATCAATGACAAGTAATGATTAGCATATCTTAACTCCCAAGCAGCCCTGCAGGGGTAGCTATAATTAGGGATGCCGATATTTCCGATTCCGATATGAACTGATATATACAGCCGTTTGCTCGCAAAACTGAGATAAACATGTCAGGACCCTACGTGCGATTCCAGGTCATTTGGCAAAAACCAAGGCGTTGTGTTATCGGGTTTTCGTTATCGGAGGAAAAAACGATTACGATTCTTACCGATATTACATAATTATGCTGATATTATTGGTCGGCCCATGTTATCGGACGTACCTAGCTATAATCCCTTTTGTAATACATGGTCAACGAGTGTGCTGGAACAGTACTATGGTTATATAAGTCAATTACTAATGGACATCACTGGGGTTTATATAGCGTGGAGCTCCACTGTCGGCTCAGGCTGTACACCTCCAAAAGTTCAATTATTTGTTTTCTTAATAAAACCATCTATTTGACAATGTAATACCATCTCGCCCGAGATGACGTCATAAATACAACCATTCTACAAACGTATGGCCTAATTACATACATGGTTTTGTTTTTTCCCTAAACTTCTCTGTTCTATGCCAGTTCTGTTCACCCTGCACAACAACTGCTTTGTCTTAGTTAACAACAGTTACACTACTAAATCTTTCCACCCACTAGCGTCTGCAATTTCCTCCAAAATAAGGCATAAACGTAAATAAACGGGACGTGTCTTGTCAGCCGCTGCAGTAATGCAATTGCTACAGGGAAAAAAAAAAAAAAAATCGAGACAATATGTTAATTAAAAAGTTGAGGAATTAGTGAGGCGTCAGGCTGTGAAATTGTTTGCTTGCATTATTGTTTTTTTTTTTTTTAATGTCACCCTCATTACCAGTCATTTAAAAAAATAGAATCACTACTTCTTTTCTTTTTTTTTTTTTACACTGCAATCAGACCAGTCTTAAATTACAACCAATTTACTCCATCTGTGTGTTTTTGAGATTCTTCATAACATGGTTATGCAGTAAAACCGGGTCAGTTCCAGCACATGTTCAGACACACACACACACACACGCGCTCCATTCTCCCACTGGCATTTTCCTCCTCCAAAAGGCCATTAGTTTTGTGCAAATGCAATTAAGAACCAATGACTCCCCGAGGCTCAGCAGAGCAGAGCAGAGCAGAGCAAAGAGAAGGAGGCTGCTGGAACTTAGGGAGGTGTAATAACCTCCACCATCTTCCACCCATACTAAACCCTAAAGATACATTTCTCATGTTTCCCCACCACCACCACCACCGCCATAGATTGTCCCTATATTTGCCTTGAGAGCAGCAGCATCCCCCGCAACACAGAATCCCAACCGGAGTGCAATAAAAGAATAAAATAAATTGTTCCATCTGATAACGCTGTAGTGCTCTCCTCGGCTGAATAATACACCCTGCTGTAGCTGTGGCACTGCAGCGCATTACTGTAGTAGTACTGTAGTACCAGTTTTTGTGAGTGAGATGGCAGATTTGGAGTTGACTTAGGGAAGTTGTGGTGTCGTTTTATATGGAGCTGGACGGACGTCCAGACACACGTGAGCAACAACAGTCGTACAGAAGAGGTGGATTTTAATCAGATCATCTGCCTTGTCTAAAGCTAGCTCAGAAGATAGCTTAAAGTTGGAGTTTAAACAGATGACATTTGACCAAAAATAATCATACCGTATTTCCCGGACTATAACTCGCTACTTTCTTTCCACCCTTTGAACCATGTGGCTTACACAAAGATGTAAGATCTTTTTTTATGGATTTTTTTTTTCTTCAGCCGCCAGGGGGCGTTCTAGCAGAAAGTGCAAAAACGAGACAGACGGAGAAAGTCAGTGCAAAGTGAATTATTTTCACCCCCTCACCCCCTCATCATGGCTTATATTCAGGTGCGCTCTATAGTACGGAAAATACGGTAATAATAATAGTAATGGCCTAGTAAAAATCGCAATTAAAAGTTTCTTAAAAGACACTAGCATGTTGCTAATTTAAATTTAGTAAGCGGGGGAGGGGGAGAGGGGTAAACCACAATGTTTCCCGTAAGATATTTCGCTAGTCAATGTAGCTGTAAATTGCTAGTAGCACATTAGCTAAAAAAAAACAAAGATGTTTTTATTATTTATACGTAGTACTACTAAAGGTTTGTCATTAAATAAAAAATAAATAAAGTAGCCAAACTATTAGTAGCTAGATTTTTTTTTTTTCAAGAAAATAATCAAACAAAAGAACCAGAAATCAAGTGCGACATGCTTAGGAGATCAAAGTTTAAATTATGAATGAAGTTAGCCAAAGGCAAAGCGGATGGACTGCAGATTTCATTTTTATACTTCTCTGTGGAACTTTTTTATTGAAGGTTATAATACTGCAGGAGTGAGGCATGTAATCAGATTTGACCGGTGTTGTCCGTTGAGAAAGAGTTGAAGGGGGGAAAAAAAAAAAGTCAAATTCCAGCGTGGCATTTGAAAATGAGTGGCTCCGACAGTTTTAACAGCTGGAGGTGATGTAACTCTGTAAAGGTTATAAATAATCACAGAGGATCAGCTCAATCAGAGGCTATTAATTCCAGGTTCACGTGTGTTAACTGCGGCCTCACTGGGAAGGCTGTTCTTCCTAATCAGGATTTTTTTAAATGTCAAATGACACACAGTCAGCGGCTAATAGAGCTGCGCTCTCTTCTAAGATGAATGCTTGGATCGCTTGAAAAACCTGGAGTCCACAAACATTTTCTGCTGTTGATATAATTTTAAAAAATCTAATCATTACATTTTATACAATGGATTCCATCCTATGAAGTTGTTTTTCAATGTGCATCCTCCATTCAGAGGTAACTCTGAGCCATCATCAATTTCCTACCTGCGTTCATTTTGCCTCTTCCTTGGGCTCCCTCTCCAATTAAGGAGGAGCTAGTGAAGGAAAGCAGTTTGAAGCAGGAGACCAAGCTGTTTCCCTGAGAGGAGCCGAGCAGCTGGTAGAACCCATTACCGCCCTAGTTCTGCTCCTCGCGTTTTCTGAAAATCTCGTCAGCAGAAAGGTGTGGGCCCTCCCGTGATTGTTTACCATATGCTGACAATCAGCAAAGACTGATTTGAACTTTTTGGACTTTTAAACACAAAATATTCACTTGGCAGCATGTTTTAGGACATAGTCTTGCATTTTAGTGCATTTCAGGGACTTGTTGGTGGTTTTTGAAATATTTACAAAAAATACCATTTTGACCCCTCACTCATGGTTTTGGGTGATTTTTAAAATATTCATATAAAATATTTTTTGGACTTTTAAACACAAAATATTCACTTGGCAGCATGTTTTAGGACCTAGTCTTGCATTTTAGTGCATTTCGGGGACTTTTTGGTTATTTTTGAAATATTTACAAAAAATACCCTTTTGACCCCTCACTCATGGTTTTGGGTGATTTTTGAAATATTTACAAAAAATACCCTTTTGACCCCTCACTCATGGTTTTGGGTGATTTTTGAAATATTTACAAAAAATACCCTTTTGACCCCTCACTCATGGTTTTGGGTGATTTTTGAAATATTTACAAAAAATACCCTTTTGACCCCTCACTCATGGTTTTGGGTGATTTTTGAAATATTCATATAAAATATTTTTTGGACTTTTAAATACAAAATAATCACTTGGCAGCATGTTTTAGGACATAGTCTTGCATTTTAGTGCATTTCGGGGACTTTTTGGTTAATTTTGAAATATTTACAAAAAATACCCCTTTGACCCCTCACTCATGGTTTTGGGTGATTTTTGAAATATTCATACAGTATATGTACAATATGTATATATATATATTTATATATATATATATATTGATTTCCATAATGATCCTTTCAGCTGCTGTTTTTGCTCACAGCCACACTGGAGAGTCGATGTTTTCTCAACATCACCCATTCACTGCACCGTATATATGTATGTGCTCAAACATGGCAATAACTTGAGGTGCTCCCCCGTTAACAAAGGAGAACAAACATATATTCTCGCTGCAATTGAGCCCTGGCGCAGAAAACAAATTAAAGCCAGATGTAGAAAGTAAAATGTACGATAACCACATTTATTCTTACGAGTTTTCACTCCACGCCGGTAAACTACTACTCTGCTATTCATCAGTGATGCTTTGCCTCTATTGTCTTTATTAAGTTTGCCCCTCCCCTGCGAGCAGCCATTAGACAACTCAAAATGAAGAGGTTATTACCTGCTCTCTTTAATTAGATGTTGTTGTGAATATTTAGGTAAACTTTGCAACTCCAGCCTCAGTAATACTGTGTATCTTGAAGTGTTTGTCTTTGTTTTTAATCTGGCGTTTGTTTTATTGGACTTTTTTTTTCCACCACTAAAACTCCAGTTGTTTTTAAGTTTTTACCCACTGGTTTTCAAAACATTTCTGTAGCCCACACCCCCTCCCCCTTTTGGTAAATAGGACTAGCGTCAACCCCTCACATCAACACGTACATACAGTAGATAATGCTTCAAAACTCTTAACTCAAAATTTTATACAAAATAATGCCATTTTTAAACACGTCATTGATAAGACAATAGAAATACACTCTCAAAATGTATAAATTAAAACAAATTTTCTTTTAGCATTTATTCTAGCTCTACTTTGAGAACAACTAGATGTTGGGCTAAATTCTATATCAATGATGACATATATAGACCTAACTAACATCTCTACTGAATTAACTTTTTTTTTTTTTTTTCTCCGCAGGCAACGATGAACCCTCGCCCCCAGC